AGAGAGAGAGAGAGAGAGAGAGAGAGAGAGAGAAAGAGAGAGAGAGCAGTTCGTTACGTGGCAGGATTACGTCAGCACCGGGGTCCTTGACCTCCGGACGCTATCTGCTGGCATGTAAGTCTCCCGTGCGATTGTGCTGTCGAAGAGTCAGCGCTCTCGATTTTTCCAGATACACGTGCAACCCGGACTTTGATCCGACCGTCATCCGAAACGTGTCGACGGCGTGCGAGGGCCTCTGCCGCTGGGTGCGCGCCATGGAGGTGTACGACAGGTCAGTGGGTCAGTGGGTCAGGGGCACCGGCCAGCCGGTCTGCTTGACCAACGTGCATTCCGCACGAACAGCCCGTTGGACTAGAACAGGCAGCATACTGGGCTACCTCACATAGAATGCCTGGAGGCGTAAGGACTGCCAAATGGCAGCGATACTTGGGCTCGTGAGAACCCCGCAGGTATGCGCGTCGCCCGCCGTGGCCTTTGCCAATGCCGCTTCTGTGATAATCCTACAACAGGCATGCTCAGGAGGCTGGTTACCGACTCGCGTAACTGAGACTGGAACGGCTGGGCGCAAGCGTCAGCAATGCGTTCGTCACTCCTCCGCCTGGCTTGTGATCGCCACGCTGCCTCTGCCAGACTGGCGGACGCCGCCTGCTATTCCCGTCATCTATCTGACGCCCCTCCCCCCGTGTCCGCTGCAGGGTGGCCAAGATCGTGGCGCCCAAGAAGGCCAAGCTGGCCGAGGCTGAGGGGGAGCTGGCCGCGCAGATGGACAAGCTCAACGAGAAACGCCGACAGCTGCAGCAGGTGACCAATCGCGACACGGTGACGGCGGCAAACGGCTAATGGGAGGACGGAACTACGGCTGGGGACCAATGGGCGGACGGGACTCAGTGGGGGAGCAGTTGGGGGACAAGACTGCAACGGGACACCGATAAGAGGACGGTACTGTGGCAAGAACCAGTGACAGTGACGGGACAGGACTGCGTGGGAGGCTCAGTGGGAGGATGGGCACGGGTCAGGCGACCGATGATGTTCCTGGAACCACGGGCTGGTGGCAGAGCGGTGTCCGAGGGAGCTTGCCATGTGACCCTTGAGGTCGCACAGACCGCGACATATCTGGTGACCCGCTCGGGCCGGTTCAGCACTGTGTGACGTGGGATGGGAGGGATTACGCGGTGTCAAGTATCGCGTAGTGCGGACGGGGCTAGCGCCGCGTGAACGACAGTGTCACGGGAGCGCAATCGGCACCACGCATTCACGGTCCGCCATGCGGCCAGGTCACGGACAAGCTGCAGGCCCTGAACGACGAGTTCGCGGCCATGACGAAGAAGAAGCGAGACCTGGAGGACAACATTGAGCTCTGCTCACAGAAACTCGACAGGGCCGAGAAATTGATAGGTAATTGCTGATTTGCGCGAACATCTCAACACCGCTCGATAAACGGGGCTAGAAGAGCGTTCGTTTGTTTCACCGAATCTCTGAGCATGAGAACCGACTAACGAACTTAGAAATGGAATCTGAACGAACAAATGCACTTCTTGAAAATTACATCACAGTGAAAGGAATACCTAGATAACTGCTTGCCACTCGAGAGCATTCTGCTAAATACGTTTAAACACGCATTTTGGCCTGGAGATCCAGGAGGGTTGCTATTATGATATAATCAATATGATGACTATGATGATGAGCCCTCTCATCCCTACAAGTTATTCACCACGTGATCACCGGTCACGCCTTCACCCGTGAAAGCGAGAACGCATGGGGTGTGACCCGCTGAACGCGACCCGCGAGCGGGCCTGTCCCACAGCGCCCGTATGAACCCGTACCCCGCGCGGTGCCGCCTTCCCTGGCCACTGTTCGTGACCCGGGACCCGTGACCCGCGACCCCCGTCTGCCCGCAGGCGGTCTGGGCGGCGAGAAGTCGCGCTGGAGCGAGGCGGCGGAGACGCTGACGGGCCGCTACGACAACATCATGGGTGACGTGCTGCTCTCGGCCGGCGTGGTGGCCTACCTCGGTCCGTTCACAGTTGACTACCGGCAGGTCAGCGGACCGACCCGCGGCGTGGTCCCAGGGTGGCTCGCGTGTCGGGGAGGGGCCAGTGCTCGGCTGGTCTGGGTGATCCGGCTCGTGGTCAGGAGGGGGAGGCGACCACCGTCGGTGAGAGGGCTGGTCCCCAGGCGGCTGTGGTGACGGCTGGTGTGTTGGTGACGGCTGGTGTGTTGGTGACGGCTGGTGTGTTTGGTGACGGCTGGTGTCGGTGACGCCTGGTGGTGGTGACAGCTGGTGTGGTGACTGCTAGTGGTGATGGCTGGCGTTGGTGACGGCTGGTATTGGTGATGGCGGGGGGGGGGGGCGGTACTGCAGGTAGGCCAGTGCGTGTTGTCAGCGCTGGTGACGGGGTGGCCGCGACAGGTGCTCCCAATGGGAGGCTGGCGATGGCTGACTGCGGCGATGGCCGCGCGGGATCAGCCGCGGTTGGTGGCGTCCACGGCGGCAAAGATGGCAGCGGCGGCGACTTGTGGCGACCGTGGCGACCGTGGTGACCGTGGCGGCCGTGGTGACCGTGGCGACCGAGGCGACCGTGGTGACCGCGGCGACCGTGGTGACCGAGGCGACCGTGGTGACCGTGGCGACCGTGGTGACCGTGGTGACCGTGGTGACCGTGGCGACCGTGGTGACCGTGGTGACCGTGGCGACCGTGGCGACCGTGGTGACCGTGGCGACCGTGGTGACCGTGGCGACCGTGGTGACCGTGGTGACCGTGGCGACCGTGGTGACCGTGATCACCGTGGCGACCGTGGCGACCGTGGCGACGCCTGTCCTGCAGGAGGCGGTCGACGACTGGGCGGCGCGATGCGCCGAGGCCAGCATCCCGTGCTCTGCTCAGTTCTCGCTGATCGCAACGCTGGGCGAGCCGGTGCGCATCCGCGCCTGGCAGATCGCCGGCCTGCCCGTCGACGCCTTCTCCATCGACAACGGCATCATCGTCGGCAACGCCAGGCGCTGGCCGCTCATGATCGACCCCCAGGGTCGGTGACGGCACGCCGGTGTGGCCGCCTTCGGAGGAGGAGGGGGGAGGGGCAGCGGAGGGGAGGGAGCTCGGAGAGGTCACGTGCTTGTGGGCGTCAGGTCAGCAAAGCTGAGAGGTACGGGCAGAATGTGAAACCGCAGTTAAAGATAAGGGGGAAAGTAATGGGACGTGATATTTGGACAAGGTGTAATGGCTGTTGATGCCATGCGATCGATTGTGAGTTAACTCAGCGTAACATGAAATGTCAATTCGTGATTTGGAAAGTGAAGGCGCCCCGACGGCCTTTGGCGCCGCTGAAACGCGACATCGTCTCGTTTCACGTCGCTACGTAAGCACTCCATTCAGCTAATCGCCGCCCTGCTCCGCGGTGCAGGCCAGGCCAGCAAGTGGGTGAAGAACATGGAGCGTGACAACGGCCTGACCGTGGTGAAGCTGACCGACCCCAACTACGCGCGCACGCTGGAGAACTCGCTGCAGTTCGGCAAGCCGATGCTGATCGAGAACGTGTACGAGGAGCTGGACCCCATGCTGGGTGAGGTGCCGTTGCCGCCAGGGGCTGGCGCGGTGTCCCTGTCGTGGGGGGGGGGGGGCGTATGTGACCAGGCGTGCGGTGGCGGTCCGGTGCTGAGGAGCGGCGCTGGGAGCGGGCGCGACGGTGGGGATTGAATCGCTGGAGAAGCTGGGAGCTACGGGTTCGACAGGGATGGTCGGGTGCTGCCGGCGCCGTGCGCCCTTGCTGAGAGCAGGTACGATTCACTAGCAAATGGCGAGCCCGGAGACCACGGGCGGCTACGGAGGTCTTACTTTCGACTGCCACCGACGGACATGCGTGTAATCGACGTCAACGGATGTTGTGTGGAGACCCGATCAATGACGTCATAGTTAATACTGGATAGGGAACGACAACTTCTGTATAAGAGGCGGGGTACGTATGACCACACGCCCAGCGTCTCATCAGGCCGCTGTCGCTGTTCATGGTTCATGTTCATGATTTATGTTCATGGTTCATGGTTCATGCCGCTGCCCGTTGTGTGGCCAGTGACAGTACGAGCGTGGCTGCGACATTGACTCACCCCACGTCCCCCTCGCCCAGAGCCCGTGCTGCAGAAGCTGACGTACAAGCAGGCCGGCGTCGACTACATCAAGCTGGGGGAGAGCGTGCTGGAGTACTCGCCCGACTTCCGGCTGTACATCACGACACGGCTGCGGAACCCACACTACCTCCCGGAGATAGCTGTCAAGGTGGGCGGGGCGCCATCGCCAGATCGCTGCGAAACCCACACTACCTTCCGGAGATAGCTGTCAAGGTGGGCGGGGCGCCATCGCCAGATCGCTGCGGAACCCACACTACCTTCCGGAGATAGCTGTCAAGGTGGGCGGGGCGCCATCGCCAGATCGCTGCGAAACCCACACTACCTTCCGGAGATATCCGTCAAGGTGGCGGGGGCGCCATCGCCAGATCGCTGCGAAACCCACACTACCTCCGGAGATAGCTGTCAAGGTGGGCGGGGCGCCATCGCCAGATCGCTGCGAAACCCACACTACCTTCCGGAGATATCCGTCAAGGTGGGCGGGGCGCCATCGCCAGATCGCTGCGAAACCCACACTACCTTCCGGAGATATCCGTCAAGGTGGGCGGGACGCCATCGCCAGATCGCTGCGAAACCCACACTACCTTCCGGAGATATCCGTCAAGGTGGGCGGGACGCCATCGCCAGATCGCTGCGAAACCCACACTACCTTCCGGAGATATCCGTCAAGGTGGGCGGGGCGCCATCGCCAGATCGCTGCGAAACCCACACTACCTTCCGGAGATATCCGTCAAGGTGGGCGGGGCGCCATCGCCAGATCGCTGCGAAACCCACACTACCTCCCGGAGATATCCGTCAAGGTGGGCGGGGCGCCATCGCCAGATCGCTGCGAAACCCACACTACCTTCCGGAGATATCCGTCAAGGTGGGCGGGGCGCCATCGCCAGATCGCTGCGAAACCCACACTACCTCCCGGAGATATCCGTCAAGGTGGGCGGGGCGCCATCGCCAGATCGCTGCACCAGCGCCGGTGCCGCAGGTATGCGTCAAGGTGAGTGGGGCGCCATCACCAGATCGCTGCTACCAGCACCAGTGCCTTAGGTATGCGACAAGGCAAGAAGGGCAGCGTTGGCGGACCGCGGCGCTCACGCTGCTCTCTCGTCGTAATAAAGTGAAGGGGGAAGAAGCACACTGATGTGCTGAACCCCGACGCCGTGTTGTTGAGAGCTCTGGTGAACAAGTCCGCCAAGACCCGCTGAAGCGTGAAAACGAGGCTGCGAGGGTCCGCGCTGAATTCTTGCAACCACGCAAAAATAAAAAAAAACAACCCATGAAGCCACGCGGCTGCAGCGGTGGTTAGCTGAGGATGCCGGCCCGCTGCACACAGCAATAATCGTGTCAGCCAGCCATTCATTCGTATTATATTATCACCAGTGATAGGTACTCTTCGATAAGCCACGCCAGTTACCGGCTAGCGCTTAAAGGGTCGTACGGTGCATGCACTGCTGTCACGGCCACCTAAACGCTCGTGCGGCCCACTCTGTTTCTCTCACTCGTTCAATGGCAAACGTTCACTTTACGCGTGTGATGTCCCTGAGCATCGGGCAAACAAAGCACACCACCACGCCTCTGGAGCCGCCCTCCACAGCGCGCCCACCGCGAAGCTGAAGGCCGTGTCGCGCGGTCTGGGGCAGCAGCGGCGTCCAGCGTGTCATCTGTTCACGGGCGGCCACCGGACGACCGCCGCCGCACGGGCCGCCAGCGCTGACGCCTAGCCGGCGCCCCGCTCGTGGCGGCCGCCGGGCGGTGGTTGATCTCGCAGGGCTGGTCAGCTGCAGTGGTCCGGGGCGGCGGCCGTGCCCCAGTCGACTGGTCCTTCGCGCCGTTTGTCTTGTCGCTCTCACGGATAGCTGCTGCGGCTGGAGCGGGTCCGCCGGCCCCACCAGCAACTCGCGGCCGACCGGCCCCCGCCCTGCCCATGACACCTCTCACCACTCCAGCCCCCTCGCCCTCACACGACCCGGCGGCCCGCCCTGCCCATGACACCTCACACCACTCCCGCCCCCCGCCCTCACACGACCCGGCGGCCCGCCCCGCCGCGGCCTCACGAAGCGGGTTTGTCGGCGGCGCGCCGGCGGTGGTACTCCTCCATGCACTGGCGGAACGCGCCCACCCGGTCCTGGCACTGGCGCCAGTCGCCCGACTCGGCCATGCACGCCTGCACGGCGTAGTGCTGCTCCATGCAGCCGGTGCGCCGCATCAGCTGGTCCACCAGGTCCTCCTCCTCCTCCTCGCCGGCGGCCGGCGGCGGCGGCTGCGTGCGGCTCCGGTCATGGCCCGACATGGCGGCGCGGCTGGCGGTCTGGGCGACGGTGGCGGCGCGGCTGGCGGTCTGGGCGGCGGTGGCGGCGCGGCTGGCGGTCTCAGCGGCGGTGGCAGCTGTGGAGGTGGCAACGGGTCACTGCTGGGGGCTGAGCGCCGCTGTGGGTGTTGGTCACAATGATGTAAGCTGATGCCAGGTTTCCATTGGGGGCTTCCATTAAGTCTCAACTAAAGGCTTCAGTCACAATTTCCTCTGCTAGAAAGCCAACAATATAACCCATTAGTCTAAAGCTCCATGTATGACACTTGAAAACAGCCCTGGTTACATGGGCATCATCCATAATTGTGTTGAAAGGAATACAAAAAATGCATTAGCTATAATATGTTCTTAGGAGTGTGCAATGGTGAGGTTAACATGAGTTAGATTGGGGATATTTTTTCAGAGAAAGAATGTCATTCTGATTCATGATGGTCAGTTTTTCAATCACAGTTGATGCAGGAGCGATATGAAACTCATCATTTACCCGGTCTGGCTTTGCTCATCCCGCCATGTGATGCAACATCAATGGCATGATTGAACCAACTAGCAAAATGTGGTCATATGGTTCAGCACATGGAGCTGGTTGTGACTGAAAGGCACCTGATGTTTTTTTGCTAGTCCAGGGTCTGGCTTAAGATATGGCTCAAATCTAGAATAATTTATAATGGTTTTCATATACATAAACCATGAAGTGTTGACAAGGAGTGTCCATCTCTTTTACTGGAGCATGCAACCATGAATTAATGGCCATGTTAGGAGATCAATGGTCAAGTGTCAGAACTCTAAGCTAAGAAACCAGGCATAACTGAAGGAGTCACTATTGCCAGCATAGTCTTAGAATGTTACTAGCAGCTGTCAGGGTAGTTTGACACACAGGATAACAAGAAATGGTCTGCTTTAAAAATTAGAACAGCAAGCCCACTAATGCCCTGGTCTATGAGCTTTCATGTTATACTATACAACATTGTTTCATTAATATGCTGTGTGGCCCCAGGGGTGCAACAATTGTCTAATCTTGTGCCATCCATGACATCCTTACCACCCAATGACCAAGAAAGCTGGTTCTCAGTGTGAAGTGGCAGGGGTGCCCATATGGTGTGGCAGAGTTGATAATGGCCTGGCACATAACATGATGATTTAGCTCTGGTGATAATGTAAGTTGTCCATTCCACAGGCTAAGTTGAAGTTTGTGTGGAGCACACACCTGGTTGATCTGTGAATAGCATATGTGTTGTATTCCATTTGCTAGGCATGTTAGAACTGTCCATACAAATATGAGCATGTGCATTATTTGTATTATATCCATGTGCAAATGTAGCATATGCACTGTATTCCACCTGCTGGGCATGTAAAAACCATCCAAGCAAATGTTACATTATATTCCACCTGCTCGGCACATTAGAACTGTCCAAGCGAATACAAACTGTTAGTTGCATTTCTTTTTAGGTTGGGTTATCACTGATTTCCATCCACCAGTGTGTCATAGGTAAACTTCACACATTTTCAACAAATTGGTCCCACTTTAACTACACAAATATTTTGTAAAACCTGGAGGCAGCATAAACTTCAACTGGAGTCAAACATAACAGTGGCATGTCACTAGTAGACCGTAAATCACACTAGCACAGCAATCACTCTAACATTATTAGTTCAGAACACTTAAATTGTGGCTCTGAAATAATCCATATTTTGGGAGCCAAAAGCAGAATGCAAAGATGGGTGGCATTACATGACAATTTAAAAATGAGTCATGGATGGAAGGTAACTAAAAAAACAGGGAGAGGCCCAAAGGAGTTAAGTCTTACCTACTACGGAGGTATATGTAATCCAAGAAGCAACGCCACGCTAGGGCCCCGCCTATGCCCAGAATTCACAGAAATTGACGAGACGGTAAAAAACGAATTGCATTATTGTGTCACTTGCAATGAACTTTGAGCACAATGCCAACTTTCGCACGTATTCAGCTCTAGTTTAGAACATCGAGGGTGCCTCAAAGGTTAGTGTAGCGAAGACTTCTTACCCAGCGATCAACCTCTAACTGCAATCCCGACCAGTCAATACGATATTAACAATTGCAAGAATTCTCATACTGTAACTGTCTTTGGTGCGTCAATTTGTCCCGCACAAAAATAGCTATTGACGAGTAATTTATTGCAGTCGCCGAGAATGCCGTAATCTGAGGTGGAGGTTCGCACTGCGGACTTTGTGCAAGTTTTGTTCATTTTTCAAGGCTTGCAGCATGGTTTACCTAATGACAAAAAGCAGTAGCAAGAGGGTGAAATTGGAATTTGTGAGCACCCGTCACCCACACGCCCTCGGCCCAGCTCTTTATGAACAGCGCTGCTCGACCGCTCCAAGCTGCGTGTTCCCATCCGGGACACGACCGATCCCTCCTCACCACCCCAGCCGCCACTGTAGGGCCAGGTGACGTCATGAGCAATGTCACCCACCGTTGGGTGGCCAGATGACGTCATGAGGTGACGTCACCCGCCGGTGCACGGTCAGGTGACGCTGCTGAACTTCATGATCACGCCGCTGGGGCTGGAGGACCAGCTGCTCGGCATCGTGGCAGCCAAGGAGAAGCCGGACCTGGAGCAGAAGAAGAACGAGCTGATTGTAGAGGGCGCCAACAACCAGCGGCTGCTGAAGGAGATCGAGGATCAGATCCTGGAGGTGCTCAGCTCGTCCAAGGGCAACATCCTCGAGGACGAGACGGCCATCCAGATCCTCTCCTCGTCGAAGGTGCGTGCGGTGCGGCCGCCTGTCAGGCGCTGGCCTACCGGAAGGCGATCAGCCTCTGACCAGGGTTTAGAGACGGGACGGGGCGTGTTTGAGATGCTTTATTCGTCCGCGTGTGGATGCCACTTCTGATCATGTTACGATGACCTTACTGCGAAACCAGTGAAACATTTATGCGACGTGCGGGATTCGAACCGGGGTCCGCCAGCACGGCGCGACACCTCACCGGCCTCGCGCGCCCGCAGGTGCTGTCGGAGGAGATCACGGCGAAGCAGGCGGTGGCCGCCGCAACGGAGAAGGAGATCGACGAAGCGCGCGTGGGCTACCGGCCGGTGGCCGTACACTCGAGCACGCTGTTCTTCTGCATCTCCGAGCTGGCCAACATCGACCCCATGTACCAGTACTCGCTCACCTGGTACATCGGCCTCTACCTACATGTACGAGGGTGGCATGCGTGGTGATGTGAAAGGTGCCTGGTTGGTACGAGTTTTGCTAGCGTTAGTGCGAAGCAACTGAGGGCAGGGCTGCGCAGCCTGTGTGAGAACCGGGCACGCGGCATCGCACGGCGCAGGCGAGCTTCGGTGAGAACCCAGTGTCAGACCCCCAAATCTAGCTGAATAGTGGGTTTGACCCTCCCCTGAATCCACATAATTTGGTGAGAACACAATGTCAGGGCTCCAAATCTAGCTGAGTATTGGTGTTGACGCTCCCCAAATCCACATAATTCGGTGAAAACCCAGTGTCAGACCCCCCAAATTTGGCTGACTATTGGTGTTGACGCTCCTCTAAATCCATATAGCTGACTGGGATGCAAACCCCTGGAATCAGTGTTCTAGGGATGCAAGCATCAGTCTGATAAGCAAAACCTGGTCCCGATGCATCGAAACAAAATATATAGAGGCGTGCACACTGGACGGACTCGGCCAGCGTGCGCTGCGTGAACAGCAGCGATGTGGCTTGCCTGCGCTGCGTTGCGTTTTGCCTGTTGCGACGCTGTAGCTGTGAAATGGGAGTGGTCTCGTGCGCCGCAGTCGATCCAGAGCAGTCCGAAGTCGCCGGAGCTGAAGACGAGGATCCTGGCGCTCAACGACTTCTTCACGCGTAGCATCTACCGCAACGTCTGCCGCTCCCTCTTCGAGAAGGACAAGCTGCTCTTCTCCTGCTTGCTCTGCGTCGGCATCATGAAGGGTCGGGTGAGTCTGGACGTGGAATCGTGTGAGGGAGTTGGAGGGGGGGGGGGGGGGGGCTACTGCCTGGCAACGCGGGTGTGAGGACTTACCCTTGGGCTGTGAAGATCCATCTTCACTGTTTGTAGGTGTCTGGAGACCTAGTTTCATGAGCCTAGACATGTGTCTGTAAGGTGTAAGAACTCAAGCGCGTACAGATGCTGGTCCGCGTGCACGGGTGCTGAGACGTGGTCATGTGGATGTGGAAACGTAAACCATGTAGATGCAGTACCTGTGCGATTTGGAGGTACCAGTGTTCTGCCGCTGCGTGTGTGTGACGTTATCTCCCGTGGCGCGTCTCTGCGACGCCGCTGACCGCGCGCGCCCATGCTCGGCAGGGGGAGCTCAATGGCGAGCAGTGGCGGTTTTTCCTGACCGGCGGTATCGCGCTCGACAACCCGTACCCGAACCCGGCCTCCGGCTGGCTGACCGACAAGGCCTGGGCCGAGATTGTACGGCTGTCCAGTCTTGAGGGGTCAGTGGACGGGCCGCCGGGCCTGGAGCCGTCACTGCCGTCACCTCTCCGACCTCGAGGGCTCAGGGTCTGGGCGGTGTCGGCCTCGAGGGGTCAGTGGACGGGCCGCCTGGTCTGTAGCCGTCACTGTCGTCACCTCTCCGGCCTCGAGGGCTCGGGGTCGGGGCGGTCTCGGTCTGGAGGGGTCAGCAGACAGGCCGCCTGGTCCGGAGCTGTCACTGTCGTCACCTCTCCGGCCTCGAGGGCTCAGGGTCGGGGCGGTGTCGGCCTTGAGGGGTTCCTGATAAGTCATATGGCTTCAATGGGTCAACGTGCGGGCCACATGGTGTTAGGGGGCGGTGTCTAGGCCATGCCTCTTGAAGGGTGAGTGTCTGAACCACCTTGGCTTCGACGCTAGCGGCCGATGCTCCGTCCGTGGTGAGCGGCATCCGCCTCCTAGGACGACGGGACTCGCGATGGGGCTTCGGAGCAGATTTGACTCGATGCTTGACACTTGGATGTTGGTTGTCGAGCATTTCGGGAAGAGCGCAGAGGTGTGCGGTGCATCAGAATGTGACGAGGAGAACACGGCGGCACCCGACGTGACGTGACGCCGGCGCCGTACCAGAGCCGATCCTAATCATCCGTCGTTGCGGGACCGGTTCGGGCAAAGAGCCACAAACGATCACCTTGACCTCAGCAGCAGCTGAGTGCGTTGTAAAGTCCCAATGACAACAACAACATCTCGTCTTTAATTTGTCGGGTGTGACCCCGTCCGACAGCGCGTGGCTCGCCCGGCCCGCCCGCCGGGCGTGACCCCGGCGCGACGCGGTCGGCCTGACCTGACCCAGCGTGACGTGGCCGGCTTGACCTGACCCGGCGGCGCGCCGGCCTGTGCCGCAGCTTCAGCAAGCTGTACCGGGACGTGGCGCGCACGCCGCCCGCCTGGAAGGCCATCTACGACTCGTCGGCGCCGCAGGAGGCGCGCTACCCGGGCGCCTGGGACGAGAAGACGGGCCTGGCGCGCATGCTGCTGCTCCGGAGCATGCGGCCGGACAAGCTGATCCCGGCCGTCCAGGTCAGCGGCCGCCGCGGGGGGGGCGCGCCGCCTGCTGCCGGCGCCGGCCCGGGCGTCGCGCCGAGCGGGGCGCGGCTGCCGGGGAGGCGGCGGTGGTGGGGTGTTGGCCGCTGCCGCTGTGTGACTCCCGGAGGAAGTCGGTCATCATGTCCGTGTTTGTCATGCTGAGGGGTTTCTGTCACATGGCCGCTGGTACTCGTTCGCCGTTATGACGCCTTCCCGCCATCGCTGCCTAACCTTCGATCCATTTTCCAGTGATGGCGCCCCTTGGACAATTTATAAGGGCCATTTTTGCAGCGCAGTTATCGTCACGTTCACGTCACAGTCACGTTTTCGCCATCGTTCGGACAACAATAACCTAACACCCCCTGCAAGCCCTCACGCAGACGACTCTCTCTGACGACATGGCCGGTCACCAGTAACGCCGGGCCTTTCATCCGCTGCAAACGTTCACAACACCGCATTGCCCGCCCACAACACCCACAGTGCCCGCCCCACAACACCCCAGAGCCCGCCCACCAGCACCACAGTTTGCCCGCCCACAAACACCGCAGTGCCCGCCCGCAACACCACAGTGCCCCGCCCAGAAACACCGGTGCCCCGCCCGCCAACTCCCAGTGCCCGCATACAACTCCCGCTAGTGCCACGCCCACAGAACCACAGTGCCCGCCCACAACACCGCAGTGCCCGCCCGCAACACCACAGTGCCCGCCTACAACACCGCAGTGCCCGCCCACAGCACCACGGTGCCCGCCCACAACACTGCAGTGCCCGCCCACAGCACCACAGTGCCCGCCTACAACACCGCAGTGCCCGCCCACAGCACCACAGTGCCCGCCCACAATACCACAGTGTTCGCCCACAACACCACAGTGCCCAACCGCAACACCGCAGTGCCCGCCCGCGACGCTGCGGTGACGGCCGGTGATCCCGTGCTCACCGCGCGCGAGCCGGCGGCGGCCGCGCGGCGTGACCGCGCGCTTTCCTGCTGCCAGCAATTCATCGTGGACAACCTGGGCGCCTACTACATCGAGCCGCCGACGTTCGACCTGCCCGGCTCGTACGGCGACTCGTCGTGCATCACGCCGCTCATCTTCGTGCTGTCGCCGGGCGCCGACCCGATGGCTACGCGCTCAAGTTCGCCGAAGACGAGGGCCAGGCCGGCCACGTGCAGACCATCTCGCTGGGCCAGGGACAGGTCAGCGGCGAGGGCAGGCGCTTCCGGGGGGAGAGGTGGGGGGGGGGGGGGGGGGGGGGGGTCGGCGTCGGTGTTGGTTTGTGTGGCTGACGTGTAGGCGGTGCCTATTTGTTTTAAGGAAGTTGTTTCACCGTGTCTCCGAAACTGCGGACAATTTACGGTAGGTCGCTAGTGTTCCAGGGAAAGCCGGCTTCACTGAACCCATTTCTGTTTCCAACTGTTCTGGTAAGGTTCGGTTTATGGCCGGCGACCGCGTGACGTCGTCTGCTGCTGATCGCGATGCTGTGCGTTGTAAGACAGTGAAGCCCGTCGCCTGGTGTTGTGCGCAGTCGTGTGGCGTTTGCGTGCGGTGTAGTGCAGTGTCGTATGGTGGTGTGCGGTGTGGTGCAGTGTTGTGTGGCGGTGTGCGGTGTTGTGCGGCGTGGTGTGTCATGGATCGTCGCCTGGCGCTGTGCCTGCCCCCGCCACCGCCGCCCGCCATGCTAACGCTCCCTCGCCGCGCGCGTCGCCCGCAGGGGCCGATCGCAGCGCAGATGATCGAAACGGCGCTGGTGGAGGGCGGCTGGGTGGTGCTGCAGAACTGCCACCTGGCCACCAGCTGGATGCCGCAGCTGGAGATGATCTGCGAGAACCAGATCGTGCCCGAGAAGACGCACCAACGCTTCCGGCTCTGGCTCACCAGCTACCCCAGCGGCGACTTCCCCGTCTCCGTCCTGCAGAACGGTGAGGCCGTCCAGGGCGGTGAGATGCCGCAGAGCGGTGGAACACCGCCGGGCGGTGAGATTCCGCAGGACGGCGGGGTCCTGCAAAGCGGTCAAATAGGCCGTGTACTCATACCGTTTGGCGGCACGCGGCAGTGCGCATGTGCTGTGATTACATGCTCTAAAATCACGCCGAGCCGTTCGGAAGCCGAGCCGTCATCGTCGTCTTCGATGTCACCGACATGCCAACATCGTTTTCAGCCCCATGCTGTTCTTCGAAAGCGGCAAATCGTGCTGATGGTATGACGATTGCAGTGACGAGTCTGACGTCATGAGTGTTAGGCATGTCTTCGCTCCAAGCGGGCTGGTCAGTATGACTGCCATTAACTGGCTCACGGGATTGGCTGCAGGACTTCTGCGGCGCAGACTCAGTGGCGATCGCAGTTGGCAGGAGCGGCTCGGTGGCATTGGCCAGCATTGCTGCGGGATGTGTTGGAGGCGGCGGGTGTGGGTTGCCCCGCCCTGTCGTCAGCAGCCCGCAGCCGTCCGCCTCGCTCGCCGCGCAGCCCCTCACGCCGCGCACACTCTCGGCAGGTGTGAAGATGACGAACGAGCCGCCGAAGGGCCTGCGCGCCAACCTGCTGCGCTCCTACCTCAACGACCCCATCTCCAGTCCGGACTTCTTCGGCGGCTGCAAGCAGCCTCAGGTGTGGCCGACGTGCGCGGTGTGGGGTATCGTGGCGCCGGCGGGCCGTGGCTGACCGGCAGACAGTCGTGGCGCCGGCGGGCCGTGGGTCCGCTGATGGGGCGGACAGGCCAGCCGACAGAGTGCGGATGAACCACGCTCTCCGACTCCGACGCTCTCATGGCCGGGCGGGGGTGCCTGCGGTCCTACACTAACCTGCCGACGCTCATGCCGCCGACCTTGTAACTCGCAGCGGGCGCGAGCTCTGCCCTCGTACACCTCCGCCCCCGTCCGGCCGTACCGAGCCCGGCTGGTTGCTGTGTCTGGACGCTGTGTGACATGCCGCCGCTGTGTGCGGGCCTGACACCGGCCGCTGTGTCTGGACGCTGTGTGACGCGCTGCCGCTGTGTGCAGGTCTGGCATCAGCTGCTGTGTCTGGACGGTGCGCGACGCGCCGCCGCTGTGCGCGGGTCTGGCATCAGCTGCTGTGTCTGGGTGCTGTGTGACGCGCCGCCGCTGTGCGCAGGCCTGGCACCGGCTGCTGTTCGGGCTGTGCTTCTTCCACGGCCTGGTGCAGGAGCGGCGTCAATTCGGGGCCCTCGGCTGGAACATCCCCTACGAGTTCAACGAGTCGGACCTCAGCATCAGCATGACACAATTGCAGGTCTGGCCCGCCCGCCGTGTTCCAAGCCGTGCTCACGGGCGCTCCTTTCTGTGTTCATATCACTGCACCTACATGTCTGACCTTTGCTGTGTTATCCCTTCCAGAATTTGTATCTTTAACTTATATTGAACTCACATGTCTCCGTGAATATCGCCGGCCTCTCTCGCACGCATGTTGTGTATTTGTCCTGATGTTCTGTGTCTTCGTCCAGTCTCCCAATCCTGTATCTATCATCTGAATCCTGATGTACTCTGCCATGCTGTTCCGCAGAACCTCTCGAAGCTCGGTGCAGGGATGTCTGTAGCATGTGCTTCAGCGTGGCATCCCAGGGAGTGATTCCTTTAAGTCACACCACATGGCCCCGTCTCCTCACCTCACCTCACCTCACCTTGCCCCACCTCTCCTCGCCTCAGCTCACCTCTCCTCGCCTCTCCTCTCCTAACCTCACCTTGCCTCACCTCGCCCCAGCTCACCTCACCTCACCTCACCTCACCTCACCTCACCTCACCTCACCCCTCCTCACCTCACCTTGCCCCACCTCGCCTCACCTCAGCTCACCTCTCCTCACCTCTCCTCTTCACCTCACCTCACCTCACCTCACCTCACCTCTCCTCAACTCACCTTACCTCACCTCACCTCACCTCACCTCACCTCACCTCACCTCACCTTCACCTTCACCTCACCTTGCCTCACCTCGCCTCACCTCAGCTCACCTCACCTCTCCTCTCCTCTCCTCACCTCACCTCACCTTGCCTCACTTCACCTCGCCTCACCTCTGCTCACCTCTGCTCACCTCTCCTCACCTCTCCTCTCCTCAGTTCACCTCACCTCTGCTGGCTCCTGTGACTGGCAGATGTTCCTGAACGAGTACGAGCACATCCCGCTGGCGGCGCTGACCTACCTGACTGGAGAGTGTAACTACGGCGGCCGCGTCACCGACGACAAAGACCGCCGCCTGCTGCTCAGCCTGCTGGCGCTCTCATACAACGACAACATCATCAACAGGGCCGGGTAAATGCTGTCTCACAACGAGGACATCATCATCAGGACCGAGTACGTACAGCCTTGCAGCAACGACATCATCAGCAGTTCAACACTTTCAGTGTTGTGATGTGTCAAGTAACTACCGCTTGCAACAAATTACCACCGTCACCACCCTCATCGCTGCATTCCCTCACGCGAATTCAATGTAAAGAAAAAAATTGTCGTCGGTGAGTAATGTATGCCATAGGCTTTCGTGGAAACATTCGTCATTCACATCGGTATCTGCTAAGCTTGACCATCACAACTTCGACGAGGGCAGCTTAGTCAAATGGTGAGTGGTAGCGAATCGTAAGGTCAGTAATGAGTATCACAGGCTCTCCTGAAGACATTAATATCGATGCTTCTTCTGTACATGCCCATTATTGTAGAAACTTTCTATCATAGGTTTCAATAGAAAAATTTCTGGTGTGCTCGATCAGCAAGTGGCTTATGTTCCAGGATCAGATCACTTTGAAAACGCTCAGCATTTAATAAGCTGATATACATACCATGTCCAAACCAGTCTCCGAATATTTTTTGGAATCTCTAAATTTTGGAATCCGATCGACACATCAACGCCACGGGACGGGTGACGGCGATAGGCGCCATGCACTGCATGGCGAGTGATTGTGCGTATAGGAGCGGGACAGCGTTTGACTATTTCCGGTCCACACTTTGCACCCGTAATGCTGTTTGGTTTCGACAGCGACAAGGTGCCAGTGAGAATGCTCCATCTGACCTTCAGCTGCACTGACTGCATTCGCCAGCCTAGAGCGGCTCTGCGGAGCCTGTGATGACGTCACTCAGGCGGCTGTTCGGAGCGTCCGTACACTCAGCCCCCTCCCTTCCGCTCCGTACCCTAGGTACGAGTTCAGTCCGTCGGGCGTGTACTATGTACCGGACGTGGAGGAGCACGGCGAGTACGTGGAGTACCTGCGCTCGCTGCCCATGCTGGCGCACCCGGAGGTGTTCGGGCTGCATGAGAACGCCGATATCACCAAGGATAACAAGGAGACCAACCAGGTGAGCCGGCGGCCGTGCACGCAGTGAGTAGTGCGGCTGTTGTCCCCTCCCCTCCCCTCCCCTCTCTCCCTTCCCCTCCCCTCCCTCTCCCCTCCTCCCCTCTCTCCCTTCCCCTTCCCTTCCCTCCCCCCTCCCCTCCCCTCCCCTTCCCTCCCCTCTCTCCCTTCCCCTCCCCTCCCTCTACCCCCTCCCCTCCCCTCCCTCTCCCCCCTCCCCTCCCCTCCCTCTCCCCCCTCCCCTCTCTCCCTTCTCCCTCCCCTCCCTCCCTCCCTCCCTTCCTTCCTCCCTTCCTCCCTCTCTCCCTCCAGAGACGAGACATGTCGCGTGTGCGGTGCTCAGGAGGCCTTTGAACTTGCGCCAGAATGCCGGTTCAAGGGCTCGTTTGGCGGAGACCAAGGCGGCGGGCGTCATAGTGTAGGCGGACCTCAGCTGCAGTGTGTGGCGCCGTCTGTGATGGTGTTGTCAGCCAAACAAGGTGACGTGTCCGGTGGGATATGATCGCTCGCGTATGTGCATGTCCAGGCTCGAATCCTGGTTGGCCGTGTGATCTCTGGGCTCTGCCACGACCGCCTGGTTATCGGTGCATCCATGAAGCGATGCTGGCTGGTGCGCCCTTGTGTCCCATCACGCCTGCGTCGATGTCCTATTCTCAAAAACGTCCCTATTAGCGCGTCCTCCATTCTATGTCCCCACTCTACATCCATTTTCCAATGCCAGTCCGTCCGCTTCCGTAGAAATGTGTCCAGCCGCTGTACGGATCGAGAATGGAGACCAGCTGGATCAGTGTTCCCGTATGACACCAATGTCCCAAAGCCGCGGCGCCTGTCCTGACCTCCCCTGACGTCCTCTTGACGTCTTTCTGATGCCAACCTCACGGCTTCTGACACCTCCTGACATACTTCTGAAGACCTGACGTCCTCCTGACGCCCTCATGACGCCCTCTGACATCCCCTGACATCTGCTGACGTATTCCTGACGCCCTCCTGACGCCCTCCTGACGCCCGTTGCCGGCAGCTGCTGCTGGGCCTGCTGAAGACGCAGCCGCAGCAGGCGGCCACCGGCGGCGGCGGCGGCTCCTCAGCCGGCGCCGTCACAGAGCTGGCGGCCGACCTGCTGTCCCGGCTGCAGGAGCCCTTCGACCTGGAGCAGGCCGAGCTCAAGTTCCCGCTCAAGTACGAGGAGAGCATGAACACCGTGCTCAAGCAGGTCAGCGGGTGACGCGTCCGGACGGGTCATGGGCGCCGCGCTGCAACATGTCCATCGCGTTCCAAGAACATCGAGAGCATGGTTTTACAAAAAGGCTGAGGCGAAGCATTGATGTCACGGATGGAAAACTGTTCGGGCTGTTGTCCCCGTCCGGCATGGTGGCATGATAGTGATAACAGGGCGGGCATAGTGATCCGGCGGGTGGGGGAGCTCGGCACCCGGCCGGACCAGGGGCCGCTGCGCGCGGCAGGGCGGCGGCGGCGTCAAGCGCTCGGGCGGGTGACGTGGTGGGGTGCGCACACGGCGGAGGTGAGGGTTTGGAGGCTGTTGGGTGTCTATTGTTTGCAGTGTTTGTGGTTCAGTGTGTGGTGCTTGTGCGACAGTGTGTATCTGTCTGTATGCGTGTGCGTATGTGCGTGCGTGCGTGCGTTCGTGCGTATGCGTGTGCGAGTGTATAAAAGGCGTTGTTCCTCGAGACGATTGGTTGAAAGTGTAGCGTTTATGATGTGTGGTGCGACAGGCTCTGTACGGTTCGTGTGCGTGCTGCAATGCGGCGCCAACAGTGCACGATAATGGGCTTGTGATGTTGCGAACCGACAGCGAGTCCGTCGCCCCGACGTGAACTTATAACATTATACGCCCCATGTGGTGATATTGATTGAGGGCGAGCTCACTGTGCTGACGTGGATAAATACCAAGTCCACTGTGCTGATGTGGACTAACAGTCAGTCCACTGTGCTGACGTGGATTAACAGCCAGTCCACTGTGCTGACGTGGATTAACAGTCAGTCCACTGTGCTGATGTGGATTATTAGCCAGTCCTTTGTGCTGATGTGGATTAGCAGCCAGACCACTGTGCAGGCGTAGATTAACAGCCAGTCCACTGTGCTGATGTGGATTAACAGCCAGTCCACTGTGCTGATGTGGACCTGGGGCAGGGATGTCACGTTCGAAAATCGGCTGGGGGCTCCGCCAATGAAGATTGGCTTTTGATTTCTAACTCTCGGTTTCTCTTCGGATTTCGACCACTTTGATTTGCGTCCCTAATGGCAAAATTAAATAAACGCAAATATTTGATCGGGTCTATAATTTTTTGATGAAGAAGAATGACTGCCCATTTAAAGGTAATGTGATAATGATGATAGTATACTGCATTTCGTTGACGCACTTTTCCTTTGTTCGCTTATATGCCTCGGGGGTAGGGGCTCAGAAGAGCACAGAGTGGGCTCAAGTCAGCATGGGAAGGGTCAAACCCCCAAAAGCGTACAAAGTGACACCCTTGAGCGGGAGCGAGACGAGGCGGGTGTCCTGTGCTGGTGTTGAGGGGTGCTGACTCTCCCGCGCCCTCTGCCCAGGAGCTGATCCGCCCTGACCTCCCCTGACCGGGAGCGAGACGAGGCGAGTCTCCTGTGCTGGTGTTGAGGGGTGCTGACTCGCCCGCGCCCTCTGCCCAGGAGCTGATCCGCTTCAACGGCCTGACGGCGGTGATCCGGTCCACGCTGATCAACGTGCAGAAGGCCGTCAAAGGTGCGGACTGACCGGCGCCCGGGCCGCCGCCCAGACCGAAGCCGGCCGCACAGCCTCCGCAGCTGATCAGAGACGCACCACAAAGATCAGCTGATCTGCGCTGTGCGACAAAGGATGTCAGAATGATTCAGTTGAACGTACTTTTCTGAGTTATATATATATATATATATATATATATATATATATATATTGATGTCCCTGATATATCCCTCGGTAGAGCTTCATGTTGTGAGCGCCATATGACCAACGCGGTCGGCACGCCCCAAAGACCCGACCGATCATTATGGCAGACGCGACCGAGGCGGGTGGCTGGGCTCCAGACCGGGGTCACTGGTCCCACTCCTGCCTGCACGTCGGCGGGGAGGGAGAGGGATGTCGCTGACTCTGGTGCCGCCGCCAGGCCTGGTGGTCATGTCGTCAGAGCTGGAGGAGGTCTTCAACTCCATGTCGGTGGGCAAGGTGCCGGCGCTCTGGGGCAGCAAGTCCTACCCCAGCCTCAAGCCCCTAGGCGGCTACTTTACCGACCTTGTCACTAGGTGATGCTCCATCCGCAGCTTTCGGTGTGCGGTTGGGCATTTTTACTCGTCACTGACAGTCAACAGTGCGCCCACTCAATAACTCACGATGCGTTTGGATATGATGTACATATTGGTTGAGGTTTGCAACAGATGATACCGTCTGTAGTCATACAGACACTGTAATACACTGTAATACACTGTAATAGTCAGTGTAGGAAAAGGAGCTGGCCAATCGTGTTAATGTATGTCAACTGCTGTTGTCGATTTTGCTGACGATGGCCGGAAACTAACGAGCTTGCGGTCTTCCCCTCCCCCTTCCTCCGTCCACACTCGCTGACCTGGTTGTTTCCCTCATGGATAAGTTGTGATGTTCCCCGGCAGTTCGACAGCACGGGAAGCCTGTCATCTGTCAACGCAGTTAGCTACGTTTGGTTCCTTGCCACTCACAGCTGTACAGCGCATTCAGAAAAGGCGCAATCAGAAAAGGCACAATCGTCAAACAACGTAACCCCAAGATGCGTAGGTCTAACGCTCCGGCACGTTCAGGCTGAAGGTGCTGCAGGACTGGATCGACAACGACACGCCCTCCGTGTTCTGGCTGTCGGGCTTCTTCTTCATCCACTCTTTCCTCACGGGCATCCTGCAGAACTACGCGCGCAAGAAGCACATCTCTATTGACCAGCTGGGCTTCAGGTCGGTGGCTGTGTTTGCGGGCCCCGTCGACGCGACGTGTCCCGCTGTTAGGCTATTTATTAACACACTCACCTGTGGAGGTCGATGGCGTCGATGGCTTCGGTGTCGCCGGAGCAATGTAGCAGGGTTCTTACGTTCAGTTGTGCTGTTTTGGTAGTGTTACCTTTGGAGGGAAGAGACCGCCAACTTTTGGTGAAAAGCTGAAGGGCTTTGCCACTAGGCATGGTTGATATGCGTCCTGTTATTTTTGCGTTCTTTTGCTTCCTCTGCCTGCATTCTTCCGTACCCATGTTTGTTCTTCGCCGCACCGCATCAAGTCTGGTATTGACGAGACAGTACGTATGGACTGGCACAGTGTGAGCAGTACCTGTGCACCTGCTGTACCCATTGACAGAACGGGTACACTGTTGGTCGATGTGCGCTCCTGTTCTGTGCCGTTCCCTCTCCATTGCCCATTGGCCGCTCCCCCCACTGCCTCTTGGTCGCTCCTCCCTCTGCCGTGGTCGGTGCCTGATCGCACGTTCACTCGCGTCCCGGTCACATTGACCATCGCCGGCTGAACAGCTGTCTTCCACCCCTCCGCTGTTCAAAACGCAGCTGGAAAAGACCCCTCCGCGGGGACCGAACCCGCGACCTCAGTGTCGCGAGCCCGTGCGCGCCTGCCCGGCTGCCGTATCCACGTGCAGCGAGCGCTTCTGTGCCGCAGATATGTGGTAACCCAGCACGAGGCGGACGCGCCGGAGAAGCCCGAGGACGGAGAGCTGGTCAAGGTCAGTGGGCGGAGTCTCCGGTCACGTGACCGCTCGGCCCAACAGGCCCCCGAGTTGAGCGATGAGGCTGGCGCCCATAGGCCAGGCCGTTTGGCACGAGATGCTATTCATGCAGCTGTCGGGAGTCGGCGCTAAATCAGAGGATGGGACGAGTCGTCGGTTCGCTGGGCGATCAGTACACGTGGCGCGCGGTCGTGAGGAGTGTCGGCGCCGTGCGTGACGACAGCGTACGACGCCGGTGATGTGTGGCGCGTCGTGGCTGCTGTCGTCTTATGCGATGCCATTTAGCAACGCACAAGGGCAAGGACGCCAAGGTGACCAGTATGCTTCCCTGTACCGGGCCAGTAAAGAAGTGCTACTCTATTACCTTGTGTTCTTGCCTGAGAGTTTTGACTAGAGGCATTGACCTGTAGTCATACCAAGCCACGCGGGTGATGTTAATACCAGGCCACGTGGGTGATGTTAATACCAGGCCACGTGGGTGATGTTAATACCAGGTCATGTGGGTGATGTTATTACCAGGCCACGTGGGTGATGTTAATACCAGGTCATGTGGGTGATGTTAATACCAAGTCACTTGGGTGATGCTAATACCAGGCCACGTGGATGATGTCAATACCAGGCCACGTGGGTGATGTTGATACCAAGCCACGTGGGCGATGTTAATACCAAGTCACGTGGTTGATGTCAATACCGAGCCACGTGGGTGATGTGGATACCAGGCCACGTGGGTTATTTTTCCCCGTTTTCCATGCCTAGCCGAGTGAGGAGTGCGGCGGAATCTGGGTACGGTATGACGTGTGTGATGAGTGGGGCAGTGGTGCATGTGGAGTGTGATGACGTGTGTGATGGGTGGGGCAGTGGTGCATGTGGAGTGTGATGACGTGTGTGATGAGTGGGGCAGTGGTGCATGTGGAGTGTGATGACGTGTGTGATGAGTGGGGCAGTGTTGCATGTGGAGTGTGATGACGTGTGTGATGAGTGGGACAGTGGTGCATGTGGAGTGTGATGGCGTGTGTGATGAGTGGGGCAGTGGTGCATGTGGAGTGTGATGACGTGTGTGATGAGTGGGGCAGTGTTGCATGTGGAGTGTGATGACGTGTGTGATGAGTGGGGCAGTGGTGCATGTGGAGTGTGATGACGTTTGTGATGAGTGGGGCAGTGGTGCATGTGGAGTGTGATGACGTGTGTGATGAGTGGGGCAGTGTTGCATGTGGAGTGTGATGACGTGTGTGATGAGTGGGGCAGTGGTGCATGTGGAGTGTGATGACGTGTGTGATGAGTGGGGCAGTGGTGCATGTGGAGTGTGATGGCGTGTGTGATGAGTGGGGCAGTGGTGCATGTGGAGTGTGATGACGTGTGTGATGAGTGGGGCAGTGTTGCATGTGGAGTGTGATGACGTGTGTGATGAGTGGGGCAGTGGTGCATGTGGAGTGTGATGACGTTTGTGATGAGTGGGGCAGTGGTGCATGTGGAGTGTGATGACGTGTGTGATGAGTGGGGCAGTGTTGCATGTGGAGTGTGATGACGTGTGTGATGAGTGGGGCAGTGGTGCATGTGGAGTGTGATGACGTGTGTGATGAGTGGGGCAGTGGTGCATGTGGAGTGTGATGACGTTTGTGATGAGCGGGGCAGTGGTGCATGTGGAAGGCATATAGTATTGTGTAGCTTATCCTACACGGTTTGTTCTGTGTCGAGGGTAGCTCTTGAATTATGAATCAACCGGCTGTACTGTTTTGTAACTTAATCCGGGTGATTCCTAAGTATGGTTTGCTTAACAACATATGAAACTTCGGGTGTCGTACATGTACACATGATTACACACACATGATTGCTGTTATACCTTTGGACATCAATGTATTGTGCTACTTGATGTAAGTAGGACTGCTATTTTATTGCTATTATACCTTCTGACACGGATGTATTGTGTAATTTGACATGAGTAGTGCTGTTATTTTATTGCTATTATATCGTCTGACACAGATGTATTGTGTAATTTGACATGAGTAGGACTGTTATTAGACACGATAAGACCAAGCCATGTCAGGGCAGACACGGAGCGGCGCGCCGGACCAGGGCTGAGCGGCGCACGGCGCCGCTCGGCGGCGCACGCACACAGTCTCACTGTCACGTGCAAACTCCCTCACACGGCACGCTCAAAACAAACCAGCACCACGCTGCGGAGTCCCCACAGTGCCCCGCCGGCCTGTCGAGGTGCGTGACGTCATTGGCCGCCGCCAGGGCCTGTTCCTGGAGGGCGCGCGCTGGGACCGCAAGGCCGGGCGACTGGCCGAGTCGCTGCCGAAGATCCTGTTCGACACGCTGCCCATCATCTGGCTGCAGCCCGGCATCAAGGTGACCGTCCGGTCCCCCGGGCCTCCGCGGGCCCCGGGCCTCCGAGGGGCCTCCGAGGGGCCTCCGCGGGTATCCCCGGCGCCGCTGCAGCGCGGCGAACTCGGCACTGGCGACGAGGCCCGCCGGAGCCTGCAGGCTGCGGAACAAGCGTGCGGCTGGATCACAACGACGGGCTGGGTCCGGGTCTATCGGGCTTCTTACCGCACGCTCGGGGAGGGGGGAGGGTTCAAATCGCCACGCCAGCTGGTGGGCGTCGAGCTCCTCTGGCCCCCGGGCGCGTATCATGGAATGCAGAATCCAATGTTCGAATCCAGGCGCGCATGTGCGTCGTGTAGGATACAGGGTGCAAGATCACATCGGTCCGCCTCACGCTGGGTGGCCGCGCGCCTAGCGGGGTCATCGTCTCTGAAAACGTATACCTAATGAAGCACAGCAAAACCAGCGCCGCGCTCTGCTGAAGGATTTTACGGATAGTAATGTATAGAGAACGAGCGCGCACAGCTCCCGGCGTTATTTTCCACAGCAACGTCCGTGAGATGCGTTGACGTCTTCCGTAAGTGATTCATTTGGTTTGTTTGCGCTAATGGTCGCCGAGCTTTGACCGCTCGGACAGGGAGACCGGTGCCCCTCGTTAAGGTGTTGCTTGTGGTGGTGTTCGCTGTGAGAACGTGCGCCAACGCTGCTGGGACTTCCAATTCGATGGTGATTGCTGTGATGATGCGCATTGTCTCAGCTCTGCGTTCACGTGTCGGGCAGTGTCTTCCTTGCTATGCACCTCTGCTCTCGATGCGGCCTTCCGTCTGGTACCGTAGTAGCTGCAGCCGTGCGCAGTCTCCGTCGCCACGCGAGCCGGGCTGTCACCTCCGCTGTGATGACGAGTCTCTGCGACATGACTTTCGCCGTGATTCGCCGTGAGGTCGTGTCCGCCGTGAGGTCTTGCCCGCCATAAGTTCGTGTCCGTGGTAAGGTCGTGTCCTCTGTAACGTTCCCTCACGCCGCTCCCCGCCCCCGCCAGTCGGAGTTCAGCACCGCTGGCCTGTACGCCTGTCCGCTGTACAACACGTCGGCGCGGCGCGGCACGCTCTCCACCACGGGCCACTCCACCAACTTCGTGTTCTTCATCACGCTGCCGTCGGCGGCGCCGCCCGCCCACTGGATCAACAGAGGGGTGGCCGCCATCTGTCAGCTGGACGACTAGCGCCGGACGCTGCCGTCGGCGGCTCGTCCGACGCGTGCTCCGTAGTGGGGCAAGAGGGGGAGGTGGCCGCGTCGGACTGACGCCAACTGACTTGCTCTGGAGGACGTCGTGCTCGTTATCGGTGCGGGCTCATGAGACCCAGCGTCCGAGCGATTTGAGAGATTCGACGCGAGATTGGTGGAAATTGCGCGTTGCGAGAGTTAGTCGAAAATGATTGTAAATGTGTCTCCGTAAATTGTCAGATGGCGCGTTTTTTAAGTTGTATTGGTGTACTTTGACGGTTACAGAAGAGCGCCTTTGATGTCCGTCATTAGATATTCTTTCCAAGCGGCTTGTTGATGTGATAACAAAGGACGTGGCAGCGGACCAGTGCAATGGTCTCAGTCCGTCCTGAAGTTGGCCAGTGTAATGATCTCAGTAGGTCCGGAGTTGACCAGTGCAATGATCCCAGTCGGTCCGAAGTTGACCAGTGTAATGATCTCAGTAGGTTCGAAGCTGACCAGTGTAATGGTCTCAGTCGGTCCAAAGTTGTTTAAATATGCCCAGTCCGTCCGAACTCGTTACGTTTCTAGTCCGGCGAATCTCGAGAGCTTGCCTGCAGCATCGCAGTAGCCAGTAGTCGAGTGCAATACTGTTGAAGGGCGCGTGGCTCTCTATTGTAGCGTTGAAGTTTGCTTTACTATCGCGTGACAAAATACATTGTGACAATGAATGGCCACATTTCCACTCTCTCAAGGTGCGTATCTGAGCCCCTAATTTGGCCGAGAGGTGTCACTCAGACTTTTAGCACAGCCACACGCTGGCCATGCTTGCCTGACGGACGCCGGGCGAAGCCGGTCTGGGATGGGGCTGAGTGACAGCCGAGACGGCGGGACGCTCTGTCGAGATGTGCCGGGACTCTCCGCCCCGAGGGGACGCCGCGCCTCGGGCGACAAACCCATCACAAGTGTCGTGCCTCGCCATCGGATTCCGCAGTCGCCGGAGCCGCCAGGTGACCTGTGCTGGCGGTCCGCAGGGACGAATCCTGAACGTTCCTGGCAATTTGAGCCTGGTTCTCGTCGAGTTCGACATTCTCCGCGGCTCAGACCTGGCTGATGGCTCTGGCTCGCGGCAGGCGGAGTCTGTCGCAGCCTTGATCGACGGCGACGCAGTGCGGAGAGTTCGGACCGCTCTCTAGCTGGCCTGGTCACGTGGGCCCAGCCAACACCTCAGGGGTGTCTTGTGCCTGAGCGGCCAGCCGGGGGTCATCTGAGGGAGGCTGCTTATGCAGGAGTATGTCTGCGGGAGCTATGGTGGGTGGTTTTTGTACATAAACAGGGTTCTAGACATAGACGTGAGAAGGCACTGTTGGTGTTATTTTTCCTCTGAACAACGTGTTGTGGTCTTAAAGTATGGTTGATAGTATACTATGTGTTTTTTTACGACTATCTGCTTAGGATATATATATATATATATATATATATATATATATATATATATATATATATATATACAACTCCTACGACTGCGGTTCTGGTAACGATCTTCCGCTGGCCACATTAACACAACGGCTGTTGGCTGTGTTAAAATAGCTTTTAGAAACAAAGCGCTATGCTGATGGCCGAGGACACCTTAGGCCATTACTGTGCGTGATAAATTGACCGGAAATGGTTCCTCGACGCCAAAACATAGGGGCGCCCTGTGTTTGACATTCCTCAGCCAGCTGTTTCTGGCCGGGGAGTTTGGTTTATGTATTCACCACATGCACGTGATGAGCGTACGTTCATAGTAAAGCTTGCTATGCGTTGAAGTTTCACGCTGATAAATGCCATGCTTAATTGGACGGTGGCACCGAGTGCCGCGCATTTTAACCTCCACTCTAATTATAAGATAGGGTCATGAGACTTTGGCATATTCCTACTTAGTTTTCTCTTTGGTGGCGTCGCCAACCGAATTTCGCCAGCCCTGTTGAATTGATGAGGCTCCAAACCAAAGCTATGGTGATAAACGACTGAAGTGTAAACAGTGAAGAAGCTTTCCCAGAGCTCCGGGTGCCGCGGGCTTAACGACGATTCATTAGTGCTGGACTGGTGTTTGAATCACTCAGGATTGAGAGACTTCATTATCGGTTTGCATTTGTATTTGCACACGTCTTGAAGCAACTCCGCACAATATGGCTATTCTGAGCCTGGTGTTAAACAAACGCATCACCGTTTTGGGCGTATGACACACACAAAATTCGGACCCCAGCGAAGCGAACACTGCAGCATGCACCCCGCGATTATCGAAATGCAAGGAAGCGAAGCGTGTTTCTGATCTGATCTCACAGTTATCAATTCCAGTGAGCAGTCTGTACCTTTGCTCGTCTATAAGTCAAGATGTCAACTACAGCCTTACCAGTATGGGATCATTATTTGGGCAAAAAGTCACAAACGTCCGACTTCCGCCCGCGACAGAGTGCAACTGTGAGACTTAACGTCTAAATGTTTCGCGCGTGCTTCATGTAGAATCGCCGCCGACTCAGTCGTCATCGACGGCCCAACTCCACTCAATGCCGCTCATGTTGCCGCCGACGCAGCTGCACCTGCACGAGACCCTAGTACCTCGGAGGTCGGCTCCGACTGCCCCTGGACCACGCACATCGGCCACGCAGTGTGCGAGAACGGGCCGGCACCTTCGCCAATACCATGACACGCCGCCGTCCTCTCACATCAAGACGGACGGCCGGGCGCCGGCGCGCGCACCGCTCCCGAAATAGCCGGCCGCCGCCGCCAAACGGGGCCAGTGGAGCGGTCGGCCCAGCCGGGCGTCAGTGGTCGCAGCGAGGGGACGCAGCCGGGTCTGGCCCGGCCAGGCGCGGTGCTCGACGAGGCGGGGCTGCACGGCACGCCCGCGGCGGCCGCTGCCGGAGCAGGTACCGGCCGGGGGACGCCGTGTGGGAGTGAGTGAGTGGACGGTGTTCACGGGGGTGGCGCGGCGCACCGCGCGGCACGTGGACCCGCTGCTGCTGCTGCCGGCGGGCTACTGGACGTGCTGCTGCTGCTGAACAGAGTTTAACTCTGCTGTTCAGAAGACTCGCCACGGACCTCGTGCTGTGTTCTGAAGGCCGAAGACGACAGTCTCCTGCCGTGAAAAAGCTTTCCATACCCTCAGCTCGACTTGTTCACATCGTGTACGCAGATTCGGTCTAGACTCTCCAGAGTGACCCGCAGTGCACTAACGTAGCACGGGGCGGCCAAGCGTGGCCCAGGGTGTCTGGGGCTGAACACCCCAACACCTGACGAGTGACCCAGAGGCGCCTGAGCAGGCCGGCGGCTCAACAAGCCGGCCGAGGTAACCTCAGCTGCGTCACGTCATCCTGCGCCGGTGAACAGCACCAGAGCTGACCTGAACAGCGCCAGAGCTGACCTGAACAGCACCCGAGCTGACCTGAACAGCGCCAGAGCTGACCTGAACAGTGCCCGAGCCGACCTGAACAGTGCCCGAGCCGACCCAAACAGCGTCGCACCTTCCTTTGCTCTACCATGGCACTGGAGCGGGGTCGACCGTCGGTGCGCACCACGCGAGGCTCGTACCGCGGCTCAGCCCGCTCGTCCAGCCACTATAACTCGTCCTCGTCCTCCAGCATGGACCCCGAGGAGCGCTGCAAGCGGTGCTGCCGTACCGTCACCTCCTTCATGTTCACCCAGGTGAGACTGCCGTACCGTCACCTCCTTCATGTTCACCCAGGTGAGCTGCCGCACCGTCACCTCCTTCATGTACGCCTAAAGTGATGAAATTGGGGATACCATTGCACCGTCACTCTTTTTGTGCTCATCCAGGTGAAGCCCGTGTGACTGCCACTGACTCATTATGTACAGGTACGTACACATAGCCAATCACACAACTCATATGTCCACAGCTCCACTATCCATTCAGATACCTGGTGGTCTTGGTGCAGTCTCGGCAAGTTTTCATCGCACCTCTTACCTTTGACCGCATGCCATGTCTTATGAGAATGGATTGTGGCGTGAGGGTTAGGCCATGATACTTCCTTTTTTGTAACCGAGCCCCATGTGCTGCACTGAGTGGCCTGGTTGCTCCTAAGACTGAGCTCCTTGTTTCACTTCCGACCGTCCGGACTGATGTGGCCAATCTATGCCAGCAAATCTCCAGCCCATCCATGTTGCATCACGTGCTTTCATCACTGTCAAGTGGAGGCCGTTAGTTGAAGGAGGGGCAGGATGCTCCTGCCTCCGGAGTTTTTGTCTACCTCTTACCTCTACCCGCGAAGTGATTGCGGCCATTCACAGCTCATATCTTCCCTCTCTGCTTTGACGGGTCGTGTGTCTCTAGCGTCAGAGACCAGTGTGCATGCTCCGATCACCTCGCCGACCGCAAACGTCGCCGGCGCCGCGTCCGGCGTCACGTCCAGCCTGGCCAGACGGCGCGATCTGACGGCGCGCGCGCCTCCAGGTGGGCGTGGGTGCCCTGGTGATCGGCTACGCCATCCTGGGTGCCGTGGCCTTCATCTCCATCGAGACGAACGCGCTGGACACGCTGATCGCCAACGTCACCGCCAAGCGGCAGACGGTGGCCGTCCAGCTGTGGAACGTCACGCGCCACATACAGTTCAACCGCGCTCGCTGGGACCTGGAGAGCCAGCTCATCCTCAAGACGTACCAGGTACTGACCGGCGCCGCCGGTCTTCGGCGCCGTGTCCAGCACCGGCCGCTGCACTGGGAGCAGTCTGTCGTCGGGCAGCACCAGAAGCCGGCCGCTGGGCGCGGTGGCCGCTGGGCGCGGTGGCCGCTGGAGAGCCAGACTATCCTCAAAGAGACCCCCCCTCCCCCCTCCCCCTCCCTCCTCTCCCACGGGGTGGTACCGTTGTCGGGATCACAAACCGGTTCAGCCGCTGACGGTGTCGAGCACTGAAGACGGCACTCAAAGCCGAGTGGCCGCACAGCAGTGTCAGGTACCGATCAACACATGCTGGGACCTCAATCGTCAGGTAATCCCAGATTGCAAACAGGTACCAGTCATCGCTGCAATGACGCACAAGCCGTCATAAAAGCCGTCTTCTGCTGTACGGATGCACTGATCACTGCGAACTAGCCCTCGCAATGGGGCACTGAGACATTGTTCGGTGCGCCACAGAACAGAGCATCACTCACAAACAGGCAGAGGAGACCACCGGAACCGACGCAGGCGAACCTGAGGACATAAATGCCATGAGATTCCGATTAACTTCGAGTCATTTTAAGCTTGTCCCCATCTCACACTGCACATTCCTACGCTTGTCCCCATTTCACACTGCACATTCCTACGCTTGTCTCCATCTCACACTGCACATTCCCTGTTGGCTCCTGCACTTGCGTTTGCTTTAGCACACGTCAGCGGGCTCCAAGCTTAGACGGAACGTCAGCGCATAAGTCAACGGTTGCACCAGCTTTTCTAAGAAAAAGGAGGTGGCCGTGTTTGTGGGAAGTCAACAAAAGCAAGAGCAGGTATGTTTGCGGGGAAAATACAGGCGTGACAGTCATCGTGTTTTCCTTCTCGCGCCAAACTTAGCTGATGCGGACATTTTCCCCCTATAAAGTGCAAGGTGTCTGTCCCACAGAGAAAGTACGGAAGTGTTTGAGCCAAAACGTGAGCAGCGCTTATGTTACCAAACGTTAACGTTATGCTTGGCACATGCTGATCTTGACATTGAAGCGTTGTAACATATCCGAACAACCCCTCCTCCTGCTTCACTGGCATTTCAGGAGGGTCTGAGAGACGTCACTCTTGTACTCTCCCTACCCTCCTCTGATACCCCGTACCACCAAGCTAAACGATTTAATGCTGACCTGCCTGGACGGGGTGACAAGAATTTCTGTAACCCCCCTTGGCGGGAGAGGGTGGTGGATATGGCTGGGTCAGCGTGTCACGTGTGTGAAACTTTGTGAATCTCTTTCCCTCTCTCTCTCTCTCTCTCTCTCTCTCTCTCTCTCTCTCTCTCTCTCTCTCTCTCTCTCTCTCTCTCTCTCTCTCTCTCCTCTCTCTCTCTCTCTCTCTCTCTCTCTCTCTCTCTATCTCTTCCGACGTGTGAGGGTCACATCCGCTAAAACCATCCAGGCCACTTATCACCTCATGTGCTCGTCCATACTATGGTTTTCTCCCCTTATACATTGTTCATTTTTGGTCGCCCTTCATCGTCATCTCCTTTTTTCGTCACTAAGTCCATTTTGTGAAGCTCAGCCGCGGCCGTTGAATGCCGCCAACCGTCACTGCTGCCGCCAGGACAATGTGGTGCAGGCCATCAAGGGGGGCTACGACACCAGGAGCGCGCAGCGCTGGACATTCCCGGGGGCGCTCATGTTCTGCCTCTCCGTCTTCACCATGATCGGCTTCGGCAACATCGTGCCCCGCAGCCCCTGGGGCAAGATCGCCACCATGTGCTATGCGCTCATCGGGATCCCGCTCTACATCCTGTACTTCCTCAACATGGGCGAGGTGAGCGGCCAATCGGCGCCCGCTGCGGCTGTGACGTCACAGGCGGGCGGCGAGTGCGGTGCTGGGGCTTGCCTGCGTGTGCATGGGTCAGTTACCCTAGCTCTTGGGGATACTTGGGCAAAGGCTTTTAAAGCGGTTGGCATGTGCCTAAAATCCTGTCAAGAGTATATAGGATGTATTTCATACATGCGACAATGCGTGTTCATGTTTAAATTTGGGATACACAAGTAAAACTGAACAAAGCGAGAGCGTAGGATGTTGCGTGCTGACACAGCCGTCGCCTGGGTGACCAACGTCTTGAAGCGGCCTCAGCAAAGAACGAGACCGGACATGAGACACCTGTGCCTTTGTTAGGGCGTCTGACTTCCCTGACGCTTTATGTGACTTAGTGTCAGTGGTGCTGTCGCTCCGTGCAGTGTCAAACATCGCCAAAACAGCATGTCCCCAGCTTGACGACATGGCGTGATGTCTCATGACATGTCGATGCTCGTGCTGCCGTCCAAGGGCAAAATCTCATCTGTTCATTTTTGGACATTCTGCGTTCTTAATGTCGTCTGATTCGTCCCCTCATGTTGAATTAGGGTATCTAAACAAATAGTTAAAATTTTTCACAAACTTTTAGCTAAATGATAGTGTTAAAAGCTTTGAAAATATAAACTGTTTGCTTAGCTAGTCGAATTCAGCATGAGTAGAAGAATCAGATGACGCAAAAAACGCAACATGACCAAAAATGTACATATGGGGTTTCACCTCTGGACGGCAGCGTTCGTGGCTTTGTCAGAACAGGCAGCTGTCGTGACGTACGGACGCGTGCACGCATGCACGCGCCACGGAGAGCAGCATCTCGAGACGGGAAGCCGCGAACAGACTCCTCCCAGGTGGCCCCGCCCCTCCCACGTGAACGCTGCCAGGTCTCCTGTCTTCGGTGCGAGAGGTGCCTGAGGCAGGGTCGGACGGAATGACCGTGACCTTGACGTATCAGCCCAGTCATTGGCCGTTTGATAACTGTGTCAGGAGGTTGTCGCGAAGCTGTCACCCTATCCAAACATCAGAAGTGTTATCGTCACGCTGTTATTGGCCCTGCTGTTACAAACGGTCCGGACCTGGCGGCGCAGCCAGGAAGATAGTGCCCTCCGGCGATTTCCGGCTAGGAAATCGCACGTCAGCTCTGGACCGTGCCTGACCCGGCAACACAAGGTCACTGGTCACTGACGCAAGGTCACAACACATGGCAACGCAAGGTCACTGACGCGTCGCACCATGCCGACACGTGCATCGTATCTACAGACCCTGAAGCGTGTGAAGCTCGCCTGCTGCACACTGCACACTGCACACTGCTGCAAACTGCACACTGCTGCACGCTGCACACTGCATACTGCTGCATACTACGCACTGCTGCAAACTACACACGGCTGCACACTGCACGCTGCACACGGCTGCACACTTCTGATCCGGGATGCTGAAGTGATTCCAATCAAACCCGTTCAGTGACCACGAGAGGAATGCGGAACCACGCGGACACATTCCCGAGCACTTCATCTGTCTGGTTTTTGCAAGGCATGCTTCTCTCTCCACACCGCAGTTGTTTTGTTTTCACACCCAAAAAACACACTAGCGGTTTTTAATAGCCCAGCACCATTTACATTTCGTGTCGCCGTCGCTTACGCGCAGGCCCCCGCCAACCAACGCCGGCGTCGGCCGGAGCTGCCTTCCAGCCATGCCTATGCACGGGCGGATGCGCTCATTTGGCCAATCGCCGCACGCACCTGTTCCCCGCCGGGGCCACCGAGATCCGTGCAGAAACGGCGCGCTATTCTGGCGCCAAATGCCACCAGTTGGCGCGGGTCCAAGACGAAAATTAGACGGCTGCATGCCGGGCGAAGGCTGGGAAGGGACAATGCCGGGGAATGTCAAACCGACCGGCGCAGCCGTGTCGGGGTTGCGGCGGCCACAAATCGGGCCGGTGCGCTAGAGGACCGCGATGATGTCGCCGCAGCGGTCATGTTTAGCAGGCATACAAATACAACGCCATTGAACGTTTCGTGGATGGTGATCGTGGAGGGCGGTCAACTTCGTCCGACTGTCATGACTGGGGAGTATGCTGCTTTCGTGAACACACTATAAGGCCATTGCACAGTTTTGAGTCCCGTAAAATCACCGTCACAAAAATGGTTTGAACATCTGAATTCGTTGGGGGCTGGCGTCACCCTGCTTCCTTCTTAAACCCACGCGCTGTGCTGTCGGCCCGGCTCTTTCATTGGCTTCATTGACTTCGAATGACACGAGCCATCTGAAGCGCCCGAGCCATGCGGTGGCTGCTCAAGACCCGTGACCTGACAGCACCAGCTGACATGAATAGCCTCTATCAGGAAGGTCGGAGCCGGACTTCCGGGGGCTCCTCACTGCCATTGGGCATATTGCCCACGATCGCCGCACCATCACCAGCGGCCCTCAAATAAATGGTGCCGGTGCCAAATGCAGCATGATCTTAAAGCCTGCGGGTTGTGACTATATGTGCCTGCTGTGAACAAGGGCAATATGGCAGCACAGCTTGTTGGGTCACGTTTGAACGAAGCCAGGGTTTTCAAACCCACTTCCCTTTCACACCTCTTCCTCACCGAGCGAAGGAACATCCGCCGCTTTTGTCGCTCTTTCCTTTCATTGAGCTGTTCTTCGCTCCGCGCCATGTATGCACGGACACACGCAGCGATCGCAGCAATTGCCTGTCATGATGAAACACAGCCATGACCTCAGATGCCGTCAGATGAATCACAGCCATGACCGTCAGAGGCCGTCAGATGAATCACAGCCATGATCGTCAGAGGCTGTGGCCGCCCTTGCAAAATATTGACATATTGCGCTGTGTTTGAGGCCGGGCTCCAGGAACTAAAGCTCGAGTCACCACCAGTCGAGCAAACCTCGGTACCGCCCGAGTTTCTTTACTCTTAATTCGAAGCGGTTATCACATGCCTGTAAACTCAGTCTTCTTTACTCGCCTTTTGACCGTCTCCCAACACAAGGCACGGTACCATCAGATCACCACCATTTCAAAGACATTCACCTGAAATTGTACCCGTCATAGAGCGACCATCTCCCTAACGTGTCGGCCTTTGTGCTCCGATGGTCTTCCCTCGGTTCGTTTCCTCTTAAATAATCGTTTTATGACCATAGCAATGCCACTGTGCCCTTTTCTAAACGCTCTCTCCTGCTCGCAGAAACTCTATTTTATTGAAACAAGACTTCTATATCGACTCACTCCCATCAAAGAAATGCTCTTTGGAATAATTTAGAACCCAGAGCCTTTCCTCACTTGCGGACATATTTACTGACTCCACCCACCTCAAAGAGCTTCTTCCGTGCCCCCCCCCCCCCCCCCCCCCCACCGTCACGACTGTGCCCCTCCTCACTCAATCGGGGCAAGCTGGGAGGTCTGTCTGCCCGGCGGCGCGCGCTACCGACGCTGCCAAGCCCGCCTCGCCCGGCGTCCGTTGGCGGCACCGCTCCGGCGCCGGTGCCTCTCCGGCTGGCGGCACCGCTCCGGCGCCGGCGCCTCTCCGGCGGCGGCCTCTCCGGCGCCGGCGCCTCTCCGGCGGCGGCGGCCCGCGGGCGCCCGCGGCGCCTCAGGGCAGGTGGCGAGCGCCGCTGGCACCGGCGCCGCCGCCGGGTGAGCGGCCACAACGCGTGAGCGACGGCCGCGCATTAGGACACGACAGCGTCGTGTCACCGATCGCTCAGAGCCGGAGCGGCGCCCCAGCTCGGGGTAGGCTCCGGAGCCGGAGCGGCGCCCCCAACCCGGGGTGGGCTCGGGAGCCGGGGCGGCGTCCAGCTCGGGGCGGGCTCGGGAGCCGGAGGGGTGCCCAGCCCTTGGCAGGCTCGGGAGCCGGAGCGGCGCCTAGCCCTTGGCGGGCTTGGGAGCCGGGGCGGCGCCTAGCCCGCCCCGGACTGGGGCGGGCCCGGGAACCCGAGGAACACCCCAACTCGCGGCGGGCTTGGGAGCCGTAGAGGCCCCTGATTTGGGGAGGGCTCGGGAGCTAGGGCAGGGGGAGGGCTGGAAGGTCCCCGGACGGCTGGGACCGAGGTGGAGCTCCATGGACAGCGCGCAAAACTGGGGATCAGGGTGCCGGTCACGGTATTGACGATTTCATCGCTGTGATGCGTTCCGAAGTAATCCGCCAAGCTGTAAAACTTACTCCATACTCGACGCAACTTTTTCGGGGCCTGCAAAGTCAATACCGTCCAAGCCACCATAGAAATCATCACATTTCCAAATCATACCGTACGTCAAATTTTATCACGAAACGCAACTGACTTTAAGTGCCATTATGTGAGACGATGAATGTCAGTGCATTCATCCCTGATTCAGTCGATATCAGAGTATTCAGTCCAACATTGACGTCTGGGTCTTATTCGAAACAAATCACAACTTCCGCGCGTAACACCTGCGTCACTAAACGTTTGCGGTTTCTGGACATGAATTTGTGCAAACTATCTACTCCAGGAGTCCAGTCAAACGTGCTACATATTTCCGAACTGATCCAGTGAATGACGGACTGTAGTGCTAGCATAATGCGCCCCCCCCCCCCCAAACCGCCAGTGAGACGAGAAGTCAAAAACATGTCTGCAGTGGTGCAGCTAGCACACAAAGCACCTAGTGGCGACCTCGCAGGCCCACGCTTGCCCTTCCTGACAGCATCTCGTTTACGCTTCCAATAATCTTAAGCGATGCTCCACGTCACGCATGGCGGTGCCTCAAAGATGATGCTTTCAACTTAGCCCGAAACTAATGCGTCAAAATTGCATCTCCGGACGTGTTACGCAAACTGAAAGGCATTCAATAAACATGCCTCCCGACATAGCACGGATAAACGCATCAAAGCCAATTTTGTGAGCTAGACGCCTATCACGTCTTTAACACCTCCTGAAATCCCCCTCGTTCGAACGCTCGCCTCCCCCACTCGCTCCAGAAGTGCGATATAACCCCCGTCCCGACTGGGCCGAGGCCGGCCGGACCGCGATCGGAGACAAAACAGCGTCACTTGATAGACGCCGGGTGGCTGGAAATAGCTCGCCTCTGTTACTGTTGGCCGCCGGGCGCGACGGCGGCTGCGTGTCGCCGCGGCCCGCCGCCCCGTCGAAGCCGACGATACCCCGTCGACGCCGACGCCGGCCGCGCGTCCGCTGCGCCCGCCCGGTGCAGCTAACGCCCTCCTCCCGGTGTTTGCTGTGGTTCGCGCCCAGAACGCCGATGTGGGGAGGTTGGTGCCGCTGGTTTGTTATCTGGAGGCGACCCCGGAACGCCGGTGTGGGGAAGCTGGTGCCACTGGTTTGTTTTCTGGAACCGACCCCGGAACGCCGAACGCCGATGTGAGGAAGTCGGTACCGCTGGTTTGTTTGTACCGCCGGGAAACGCGCAGTGCCTTTCCTGATGCGACCACCAAACGAGCGCTGCCATTGCTACCGCCGCGAGCGCGCGATGTATCGTGGCTCCTCCTGCCCGGCGAGGTGGCGGGCCGCCTCACCGTGACTACGCCGCGCCGTCGAAACCAGTCCGCGACACCACAACGGCGCTCGAAGGAGCCGGCGTCTTGGCACGCGGCGATACTCCGCCGCCGCGGGGGACCGCCGCTCACCGCCGCCGGCGGCGTCGGCCCCGACGCGCCGCCGGCGTCGACGACGCGCGGAGCGGTGCGCCAGTGCGTCGGTCCCGTGCGCCGCCGGCGTCGCCGTAGATTGGCCCGGGATTGGCGGGGAGCGTCGATGTTCTGGGAGGGGAGGGGCTGTGGGGTGGAGCGGTGCTTTGGAGCGACGTTTGTTTGTTCGGTGCGGCGGAAACACTGACGAGCACACGTTTTCTCTCATGCTGAGCTGAGTCGGCTTTGATCTCTAAGCTTCCCTCGACAGAAGACTGTGTGGCGATGAAGGCTTACGTTGAAGATGGATGGCATTTCAAACAAATAATTTTGACAAAGGAATTTCCCACGCCCCTTTTGTTGTCGGCCGACTTGCCAAGAATGCTCGAACTCTTTTGTAAATAGACTTTGATGTCAAACGGCCACGGTTTCTCAGCCGTCTGTTTGTCACACCATTCGGCAGGAGGCCGCCCGCTGCGCCGAATCAGCGCCGCATTGAAAAGAAACGCCAGCCATTCCCAAACCATTCCCGCCCGCCGCTGACAGCCGCAGCACAGCTGGTTGGACCAATCGTTTATTTCAGACACTAATTCAGACTTCTCCGGATCAAACACGGCCGCTCTGACAACAAACGGCTGTACTGATCACGAGAGATAAAGGTGCGACCGGCTCAGTATCGGACAGGCATGACGGGACGGGTTCGTTGTTGGTGGGCGCCTGCCATCCCCAGTGCCCGGATAACGAGCCATGGCTCAACTGTAAACAAACTAGCAAGTCACAGACCTTGCGTATAATTAAAATATACTATATAATTAATATATAATATACATAATATATGAATATAAAAAATATATAATAGAAATAAAGAAAATAAAATATAAAATATTGCGTATAAATAAAATAGAATGTAACATAAATAATAATTGCGTACAACAAAAAGTACACAGCCACCAGCCATTCTTAGGTACAGTCAAGGCAAAAACGCATAACGTCACAGAGTATGTGACAAGAAGCTTTCAGGCGGGTAGTTAAGATGGTCCAACGGGCGGAAGATCTGGTGCGTCACCCATGGTCCACGCTCGTGACTCATGACAAATACCCCGATAAGACCCGCCAAATAGCTAATAGAAAAATCACCCAGAATGGCGCATGAAGGGGACTGTGGCAAATGAAATGTGAATACGAACCTGGCTGAATTATAGTTCATTACTACAGGCACGAGAGCTATAGCATTAAGGAGAGCTTTGGAGATCACAGCGTTGTAACATCCGAGAAAATTAGGCTCTCAGTTTATGTGGAAACATGGAAAGACGCAAATTAAAATGGCCTGTCCTCCCCAAATCTTAAGCGAGCTCTCTTTCTCGATTCCATCAACAACGGTACGTTTATTCCACATTCTTCCCTCCCTGGCTTCTGTCAACATCACACGTGTTGACAGTGCGCGATCTAACAGCTACGCCCTTGCCTCGGCTCGTGTTGCAGGTGTTCGCCAAGACGTTTAAGTGGATCTACACCCACATATACCGATGCACGGAGGAGAGGGAAAGGCGTGCCAGGCTGGCCAAAATGGAGATCGACGTGGAGGCGCTGGGGGCGGAGGCGTTCCAGGAGCAGCAGATCCAGGCAGGTCCAGATCTATCACGGGTGGCAGATCCTGGCAGGTCACAGGTCCACTAGGAGCGACAGCGAAGAGCAGGCAGGTATCAAATCCCTTTGGGTAACAGTTCCGGGTAGGTCCGATGTCCACAGAACAGCAGATCTAGACGGATATTGGATCTGACAGACGGCAGATCCATACATTTCCCAGACCTCGCAGGAGTGGCAGCCACAGGAGGATCTCGATCCACACGGAGCAGCTGGCCCAGTCAGGGTCCCGGTCTGGGATAGGCAGCGAGGCCAGGTTAGATCCAAACGGACAGGCACTTCAGAACACCAAGGACCCAGATCACGTAAGAGCAATAAATCCGGATATGGTATTGCAGATCCATGAATGGTATTCGATCCGATAATTTGCAAGATGTACCGCAGAAAAGAACCGGGTCGGTGTTCGGCCTACAGGGTATAGACCAGTTTCGGGTTCGGGGCAAGGATCTAGACTAGGCCTAGACTAGATCCAGTTCGGGAGATCTAGTTTTTCTTTATCTGTTTTTGTGAATCTAGTTTCGAGACTAGGTCAGTTTGGAGACCACAGGTGCGTAAATCAGCTCGCCGGCTTCACGGTTTTAGATCTGGCGTTATAATTACAGTAGATCCAACTTGTTCCAAGAACAGCATGGGGTGCCGGAGCCCGGAGTGGCCCATATTCACCAGGACAATCCAAGTTGCACATGTCCTTAGTTTATATGATCACCTAATTCAGTCACCTGTGTTTCTGCTCAAATTTAATTTAGTCATATCACCAATGAATCAAGCGCCGATAACGCACAGCGCAAGCCGGTTTCAGGCCCGCCAGGAGCAGATAAGGTTGGTACTTCTCAAACATGAGATAGCTAATCCCAGAACGACCGGGGCGAACCCTCGACCTCACGGCGACCTCACGGCGACCTCACAGACCCGTCTGAATGGGTTAGCTCATATGCAAACCTTATCATAAACATTTTAGGGGCCACGCCGACGCAATGTCTCCGAAGGTTTGCATGCGGGATGTGTGTAGAAAATATCATCCATAAATCCTGATTTTCCCAAATGAATTTAGGGCCGTTCCACCTACGTGAGGGCTGTCGACTTTTTGCGACCTTTCAAATTAAACACAATAGGCTGTTGTGCGTCCCAGGGTTGGGCTGCGGCCGTGCCGTGACCATGACATGCTCCAACAGGTGATAGTACCGACCACAGCTTGCATATATGTGCTGATCGGGTACCTGGCCGGCGGCACCATCATGTTCGCCGAGTGGGAAGACTGGGGCTACCTCGACTCCTGCTACTTCTCCTTCACGTCCATCCTGAAGATCGGCTTCGGAGATTTCTTCCCCGGTGAGCCGGGAGACGAGGGGGGGGGGGGCTCAAGAGGAGGAACAGGCGGGAGGACCAGGAGGGTCCTCCCGGGACGTGGAGGACAGGAGATGGAGGCGCGTGCCCTGCGCCGCTGTCGAGACGCTTCCTCTCCTTGAGGTGCACGGAGCTGTGTTCTCCATGGTGAGCTGCTGGAACTCTGCAAGCTGTTTTTGTTTTCTGGCAAACCCGGCGCTAGATAACCAAGCCCGACTGAAACATCACTAAACGACCAACCAACAAGCTTTCTTTGATGTTATTACAGGCGCCAACGTCCGCGACTCAAACCAGGGCAATCAGCTGAAGCTAGTCATCAACTTCATGTACCTGCTGGTGGGCATGGGCCTGCTCGCCATGTGCTACTACCTGATGAAGGAGGAGGTCGTGCTGAAGGTGAGGGTGCCTCCGGGCTGGCGATGTCGCCCGGAGGCAGAAGCAGGATTGTCTTGGGGTGACGCACAATTCAGGGTATGCTGATGAACAAGGCAAACACTGATATTTTTACACGCAGCTGTCATGAATGCATGTCGACAGATAATGAGAGGACCCAGCACGTGTTCAACTTCCCCTGCCCCTGCATGCGTCACTGCCACCGGCGATGAGGCTCGGCTATAAAGCACGGTGCTGTAACGCTGCGCTGACACAAAACAGCCGTCCGACGGCTCACGCTGTTTGATGACTCCAAACGCTCGCCGAGACGTCGCTATATTTTGTTGGACATCACGGCCTGGCGTATAATGTGCCAGCGTCCGGCGGAGCGGTGATGCTTGGCTAATTCCAGCGATAACATCAACAGAGGTGTAGCCTTTCGTGCAGCTGCCGGCTGTCATAGATACTCAGAACGGCGTGTGTCCACGCTTCGTGCTCGCTGAAGCCATGCAAGTTGCTGGTTTTGTCCTTTGGGTAGACGACAGTGCCGTGACCTCTAGTTGCGGTTGAGAAAAGCTGACTGAGGACGTGGAAGACGAAGACGTGGGAGTCGTTCCAGCATTAGCCCAGAAAGGGCACGCATTAACGCCTGAAATTGGCGCACGGTAATACGGGAAGATTATTCCGTATGCCTGTGAATGCTTGAAACGTTTACAACTTTGCAAACGTAATAGGTGGACGTGATGATATACAGACACCTTATAAGCATCCACAAAGTGTGAAATGGACATGTCTAAAAGTCGGGGATATTGATCGACTTGCTGGCATGCATCGCCGAAGCGCTCAGGCTCAATGTTCAAACTTGGACAGCAGACTTGCCTCCACAGGTTCTAACACGTCCGTCGTTAAGCATTATGTCACAGCGTGCCTAACCCCCTTGTCGTGTACAAAAAAAAACATCATCTATCGATGACCTATGTATATATATATATATATATATATATATATATATATATATACATATATATATACATATATACATATATATATACATATATACATATATATATACATATATATATATATATATATATATATATATATATATACATATATGCTACAGTTGTCATACACTCGTCCTGATAGGGGGTAGACAACTTTGCACTAAGGGTTTTTAAAGATATCTCTCCGTGATGTTGAGCAATGGTGTCAAAATTTTCGGTAGCCTATGGGGCATTCATCGCGCGTGTTTTGCCGCCAAAAACTTGTTCCTAGCCTTTCTGATTTCGGAGCAGCAGCGATTTGAAACGAACACAGCACAGAGATCTACGTCCGGCGCAGGCGGCGGGCAGGCGATGATGATGATCGACGATGCCGTGGAACGCGCGCGGCAGTCCGACATTGTTACATTAACGGAGCCATGCGTCACAAATGTACCGATAAGTCACATAAAAATATACACCCATGTACTCAAAAGTAAACAAGGAACATGCCTTGTTACGTTTCATGCCGCCAAAAGACGTGGTCTCTAGAAATGATGTTGTAAAACTGAAAAGTGCGATTTTGTAGAAAATTCGAAATTTTACCTGTCATAATGGGATCAATGATTGACCTGACAACATGAACAACTCGTACAAATCGCGAGACCTCATTGATTTATCTACTACTGGTTAATTTGCTGGTGCTTTCCGCTAAGTTCTATCCGAATTAGTTTGAAAACGCCAGGGAAGGGTTGCAACACCAGCCAACACCCCCCCCCCCTCCCCTCCTTCCCAACCCTCTTTCAGTCCGCGTTATGAAAAACGGAGAATCATGGTGAAGGTTAATTCCCCCTCCGTCTTCAGCTCCCCAGGAGTTACCAACTTTCGTTGCCTTAACAAGCTCTCCATCTCCCAAAACCGAATTTGGGTGCCACCGGGCCATATCCTACGACCGACGACCCGACCCAGTCCACGGAGTCCTCTGACCGACGGCGTCGCTTCCCACTCCGCCAGATGCGCGAGATTAAGAAGTCGGTGCTGAAGCGGCTGCTGTCCTGCTGCGGCAGGATCTGGGGCCGCGAAGACAAGTCCAACTTCAAGAACTTCCACAACGCTGACGGCACGTCCGTGCACTCACGCGGTCGCAAGTCGGTACGCCGTCGGTAACCCCGGGGGTAAGCAGGTCGGTACGCCGTCGGTAACCCCGGGGGTAAGCAGGTCAAAACTCTGAACGCTCGAGGGTCGGCAGTGTCGCGCCGGTCAAGTTTACGCGCGCGCTCGACACAGGGTACGCAGTGCCGGCACAAGTCACACACGGTCGGTGAAGGTCATCCGAGGTCAACGGGGGTCACCCGGGTCGGCAGAGACCACGCGGTCCGCGTAATCAGAGGTTGTGAGCGACAGGCTGTCTAAGCCAGGACTTTCACAGCGGTGAGGCGACCGGCCGGCGTCAGCTCAGGCGATAGCGGCGGCGAGCCACCAGAGCGCAGATGGGCGGTGACGAACGGACCCGGCCGACTACGGACCCGGCCGACCACGGACGCGGCCTACCGCGGACCCGGCCTACCGCGGACCCGGCCGAACGCGGATCCGGCCGACCGCGGATCCGGCCGACCGCGGACACGACGGTGGTGGCTGGCTGGTCGCCCCACGCGCTGAGTGCTGGGATGGAGCGCGAGAGCGGCAACTGTGGCGCGGGTGACGCGTGACGTCATGGTGTGAGCGATGTGAAGTGAACAAGTTGCGCGGATCGGACCTCCGCGGACCTGTGCGAAGGATATCCGGATCTGTGACGGATCGGGGCGGACCTATATGAAGGACGTTAGTTATAATTCATGGTGAGCTTGATAAGCCAGCTGAGCTAAATTCGGCAAAGCTGTTTGATCCTTCATTGCTGGCGTCCATTTTGAACGATGTTTGGGAGACTTGCATTAATATAGAAATGGAGATTGCAACTGCGGTAGGTTTGCACACAATCATGACTCATGCTGCATTGCATTTTGTAATGGATATTATCGTAGGTGACGAATCACCCTCTGCCCAACCCTTGTATGAAAACTTTGTAGTTACTGAGGCAGGCGCGGAGACGGTTAGCGTACTGCAAGGTACATCAACGTGTGCAGCGTCTTTGACAGGGTAAGGTATCATATGTGTGATATCGTACTGTACTAACGGTTAGTACACTGTTCCTTCTACACCGTAATATGAGACTGCTGAATTGGCGTAATTTGCACGCCGTGCTGACATCGGCAGCTGCGCAGACAGTGTGACACTTCAGAGCTTCTACAGGCTGTTTCTGAGCCTGCTTGAAGATGCCTAGTTGCTGGGGGCAAACATTGTAAAGGTATGCCATGCAACGGATTGCAAAAGTGTACGCCCACTGAGTCGCAGCGAGTTCAGCAGCCGCCCGAACCGCCGTTGTAATTCATCTCACTCTCAGCCTCGGGATACGGAGCTCACTGCCCCCTCGTCTGAGCAAAAACACAACCTTACAGCTCCCAGCCCGGATAGATGGCTTTGTCGGTCCACTTCAGGTTCGTGGGCCCTGCCAGCGTGTTCTGGTCAGTTGGGCGGGAAGGGGGTTCCGCCAGTCCGCTATTATCATCAGACAGCTGACTGACTGATGCCGGCTGGCTGATGGACTAAGTGACGCGCCAGCTGACCAGCTGATATGGCAGCCGCCAGACCAGCCAGCCAATTAAACAACAGAGCACAATCTTGTCTTCACACATTTCACACTACCCACCAGACAGGCCAGATGACCATGAGCACGGAACATTCAAATCTCCACAACGCTCGCAATCCTCTAAATCGTGGGCAACGGAGTCAGAGTGAGATGGGGCGCAACAAGGGAGTGGCCGTCCAATGACATAAATCATCGTGAAGTAGAACCTGTTGTGCGATGAGAAATTTGCTTTTGAAATATTTATACACTTCATTCCCCATGTTGTTTTTTTCAGACTGCTCTGCTCTGCTGCTCTGCTCACAGGGGCCCCTGACCAACGAGGCTGGTACTGATAGTTCACATTGGTTCCGACAGACGGCGGCACCACCGGGCGAATGCAGCCTGCTGAAAGACACCGGTATGCTCATCCAGTTTTGTATTACAACCATTTCGCAAAATAGCATCACAACAGCCCACACCCTAGTCCATACCACGCGGATGGCGGATTCACTCCCACTCTCCGCCACGACAAGCTGGCGAACGAGACAGCAGCCTTGCGAAGTGTCCTTAACAACCCGGGCACATACAGCCGTCCGCGTGATTCAGAACCCTCGGAGTGCGTCACACCAGGGCCAGAAGAAAAACAGGGGCGAACGGCACCGGAGCACGATCAGTTCACAGGGCAAACAACACAGAGGGCAGCCGGTGACGATGATTTCTCGCGGCGACCAATCGGTGCATGACGCGTGCCCAGCCAGCCAACCGATGGCCAGGATGCTGGCCGAGAGCCAATCGGCACATAACAGGACGAAATGTGCTTAAGCGGGCAATCGGTAACCACGATGCTATCCAGCGACCAAAACGCTCACAAGGCGTGTCTCGTAGCCAATCGGTAACCTCTACGCTAATTGGCGACAAATCACCACACGAGACGTGCCCAGGCGGCCAATCGGTGATCGAGACACTGACTTGCGGCCAATCATTGCATGAGAAGTTCCCAGGCAGCTAGTCGGCCAACATGATGCTAACCGGCCACCGATAAGTAAACGGGGCGTGCGCAAGGAGCCATCAGTGCGCACGATGCTGGCCAACAATTGGACCAACCCGCACATGTCGTGTACTCAGACAGCCAATCACGAACCATCACGACGACCTGGTGACCAATCCGCGCACAGGTCGTGCTCGCATAGCCAACTGGCGACCGCCACGGCGAAATACGCGTGCAGACAGCCAAACATTGACCAAGACGCTGGCTGACAACCAATCCTAACAATCCGAGGAAGGCGGGCCCCAGCAACCGGGCAGTCGGGCTGCCTGACCACCTCACACGTGGGCCCCGGGACCGGTGGAAACAGCCCGCCGTGACCTTGACCTCCACACCGCACGAGAATGCCGCGTGCCGTCGCGCACCGCAAGCAACGACGCCAAAAACAACGCAGCCTGGCGCGAAGCGTCACCAACAGCATGACATCGCTGAAGTCACGGCGGTCGTCGGCGCGGCAGAGTCAATACAGAGTCGGAGTCGGAGTCGGCGGCCGCGGCAGATCAATACAGGCGGCTGTGCACACGTGGCCTGCGGAGGCTCCGCGGCCTTCCGTTAACACGCGTAACCTCGAGTCTGCGCTCCTGCCACAAATCCGACTGCCAGCCCGAACCCTTTCGATGGAATCGTTGCCCGGACTTGAGAAGTTCAAGTCAAGTTGAAACTGAACACAGCACAGCAGATGATAAAAGTACCAAGCACTATTATGTATCATCTAATAGTTTCAAACTCAATTGACTAAATTAACCTCATGACGCTCCAGCCCTTCGTCTTGTCAGACCAACCGTTCGCTGCCCAGCGTTGCTGCAACACCTCCTGGCAAAACCACAGCAAAACAGTAACTGAGGGTGGTGAGGGGACTCACCCTCGCCACGCTGTGCAAAGCCCACACAGGTATTATGCATCCGACGGGGCGGCAGCAGTAAGGGGGCCCTAAAACAGACCCCCGCCAGACAACCCGAGCGTGGACTCGTCCCGACCTCGATCGAGCCACCCCACCTACGGGCATGCATGAAGTGGGGTAAACAGCGGACGGGCAAACGCCTGGCGGCACACAGAGCGTCGACGCATGGTGTATCGGCGACCCAGCCCCGCCGCGCCTGGCCGACCGGCGACTGCCGGTGGCCGCGCGCCCGGCCGGCGGCACAGAGCGGCTGCCACGAGTCACGTGGCTCTCGTGGGACCGCCGTGCCGGCTGTAGAAGAGCGCCCCGACAGCGGCGCCGCACCGAGTGTGGCGGCTCACAAGCGGCTGACAACCGTGGCGCACGCCCTCCGGCAGCCTAGCCCCAGCGCACGCCACGTGCCGGGCGACCGGCGTCAAGGGCGCCTCCGTTCAGGAGGGCAGACAGCCCCAGCGACCAATCACAGTCAAACCTACACCAGGAGACGGGGAAGGACGCCAGTCCCCACAGTATCACGGTGGCGAATATTGCAGACATCCCTCCCTAATGACCCTAGTGTCCCTACGTCATGTCTAACGCCAGCCCAGCATCCGTACGTTGCAGAGACTCGTCCAATCACGGGGCCGCTCGCGGTGAGGTCACCGTCAGCCCGGCCAATCACGGCGCTTCCTGGTGGGCCGCAGCCAATGCGGCATCGTCTCTCAACCGGGCAGCCAATCGGGCGCCAGGATTCCCCCATCGTGGGGCCCGACCACTCACGAGCGTGGCCGGCGCGTCACGGCCAATAGGAAGGCTTCGTTAAACCGGACGGCCAATCAGACGCGGCGCCTCACCGTCGCCCCATCGCTCGCAAGACCTTCGCCATGAGAGGTGCCTTTTTCTTCTCTGCAAAGACAGAAAGGTTCATCAGCAGTCGAACAAAAATTGAGTAAGGGGGAGGGGCGGCTGAAACGTCATGTTCCATAAATTTTAGGCAATTATGACCAGCGTGAAGTGACAGATATAACAAATGTGAATGAATGAACAGACAAAGTGACAATGTCCCATCCGAATCTGGCTCGCCAAAAAATGTCAAAAATAAGCCCGAACACAAAACTTATAAAATATATCAGTATCTTCGAGCTCGCTGGTGGCACGCTTTCTGCATGCAGAGCTTCACACCGCGGGGAGAAAATATTGTTGCGAGCAAACCCCAGGGTGAAGAAATTCAAGTCCAGCGCGGTCGACTCGCCCTCTCCTTCCCCGGCGGCCGACCGCCGGCGGCGGCCGCGGCGGCACTCACGCGGGGCGGCGGTGCGTCCGGGCGCCGCCGGCCGGCTAGTAGGGTCGGCGCCAGGCGCTGGCCGCGGCTGTCTCGCCCCGCCGGCCGCCATGGAGTTGGGCATCGGCATGGCCACCGCCACAGCCGTGCCGTTTTTCGCCTGTCGGAGGCGGCCGGCGGGGTCAGGCGGCAGGTCAGGGAGGTGTCAGAGGTCACAGGCCAAGGGGCCAATGGGTTTGAGGTCACAGAGGAACGCTTGGTCAGAGGGAACGGGAGACACCAGGTCTGGAGACTACAGGAACGCGCCGGGTCAAAAAGGTTCTGAAGCTGCGGAGGGCCAGCAGCAGACACATGTCTGGATCCCAAGGGTAGATCCAGGGCCCCATAAAATTTTGTGCTTATGGGATCCTGGTATATTCTTGGGGCTCCAGGCACGTGTCTGGTCAGAGGCTACCCGGTCAGGAGGTCAGAGGCGTATCGAATCAGAGGTCACGGAGGCGTGCCGGGTCAGAGGTCACAGAGACGTATCGGGTCAGTGGTACGGAGACGCACCGGGTCAGAGGTCACGGGGGCGTACCAGGTTAAAGGTCTCCGAGGCGCACCGGGTCCGCGAGGTCACGGAAGCGTATCGGGTCAGAGGTCACGGAGACGTACCGGGCCAGAAGGCGACGTGATATAACGGCTCAGGGTCGCTATCAAGGACAGCCCAACGCGACCAGTATGCCACCTCACCAGACGTACATGGGAGACCATTGTTCCGCACAGGAACAACGGCTTACTCACAGACGCGCGACACCATCCAGCCACACAGTCAATACGGACGTCAACGGCTTCTGCTTTAAACTCTCGCCCATGAGGCCACCAGGCGCAATCCTGCCACCATCCCAGCGACACACGTGAATTACACCACCAGGTGCGGCAACCCCTCCTAAGACGCGGCGCAGCTACCACGCTCACAGCACCAGCCCGCCTCAGCGCCGCTCCCGCCGCCTCGGCCGGCGCCGCAGCGCGCGCCGTCGGCGCCTCGCACCTGTTTCCTGGCGACGTTCCTCGGCGGTTTGGCCACCGTGTGTTCGTAGGCCACCTTGGTCTTGCGGCTGCTGGCCAGCGACTCCTGGCGCTTGCCCTCGATGATGGAGCGCAGCTTGTTGTACTTGATCTCGCGCTCCTCCGCGCAGCGCTGCCGGCGGACACGGCCGCGCGTCACGGGCCGGCCGTGTTGTGTGCCGCGGCGAGCACGCTCGGGCGCGTTGGCTCGTGCCGCGGGGATTACGCACGTGTTAAAGGGATACAGCAGGCATGGTCAACAGGCAACAGGCCGCTGTGCTCGCTCAGAACGGACAGACACAGTTACCAGCAGCCGCACACTGACCAAACCAAACCACACCAGACCAGACCAGACCAGACCAGACCAGACACCAGTCACTGGCACAGCGAGGTGGCCACCAAACGACCCACCCAGCCCAATACCGAAGCCGCCACCGGACCATGAACATCGCCATGAAGCAACGATAACACCGCCGCTCGGCTGAGGCATCAGCATCCCTGGCCCACCGACCAAGCAGAGACCGCTACCCCATCGGGTCTGCCCCGAGTCCCGAGCCCCGAATCCCGAGTCCCGAGCCCCAAGTCCTGAGCCCTGAGCCCCGAGTCCCGAATCCCGAGTCCCGAGTCCCGAGTCCCGAATCCCGAGTCTTGAGCCCCGAGTCTCGAGCCCCGAGTCCCGAGCCCCCCCCCCCCCCCCACACCCCCCCGGGTCCAGCGCAGGGCGGCCGGAGGAGACTCACGATATGCATCTCGCGCCACGTCTCCATCTCCTGGCGGGGCTCGGCGCGGAACTCCTTGTGCACCAGCGCCTTCCAGAGGGCGTCCGTGTCCTCCAGCAGGTAGGAGTTGTAGTACTCGATGTTGTGCAGCTGGCCGGCCGAGCACTTCTCCAGCACCGGCCTCAAGATGTCGTACGGCACGCCGCCCGTGTACTCCAGGTCTGCGGGCGGCGGGCGGCGCCGTCAGTCCGGCAGGCAGGCGCCGCGAGCACGTGCGCCGGTGGATTCGGGGGGCTCGAGACCAGCAGCCAGCCGATCGGGCGTCCATGTGATGTGGGTTCCACCCTGAGGCTGCGGGGAGATGCCCGGCCTACGGCACCACACGAAAACATGCGCCCTGATTCAGGCGCAAACACAATGCCACCTGCATCAAACACAGTCAGAAAGGACGTAGCAGAAGTACCTTCCGCTAGAACTCTGTGTATCTGCCCCCCTGAGTCCGCCCTTGAGTCACCGACACGGAGCGGCTCGACTGCCGTGTCCGGCACACGCCAGGCAGGGTGGGCACTCACAGTCGATGTTCTCCTGTAGGCTGCGCAGGCAGATGTCCACCAGTGTCGGCACGCGGGACCAGCCGGCGCTGCGCGCGCCAGAGTACACCTTGGTCCTGGACACAGGGGCACGGATGTCAGACACAGGGGCACGGACGGTCAGACACAGCGCGACGCGCCGCTCCTGGGCACGGAGAGCGCTGGTCAGACGGGCTGACGTAAGTTGAGAACATCGGCCACGGAAGCCGCTCCTGGGCACGGAGAGCGCTGGTCAGACGGGCTGACGTAAGTTGAGAATATCGGCCACGGAAGCCGCTCCTGGGCACGGAGAGCGCTGGTCAGACGGGCTGACGTAGGCGGAGAACATCGGTCACGGAAGCAGCGACAAGACGGTCAGACGATCCCCTCGCCTTGCGTTCCTGACACCGCCCCTGCCCACCCTCACAGCCTCCCCTCCCGTTCGCCGACTCCCCTCACCACGTGTTCCTGGCACCGCCGCTGTTCCCCACCTCCCTCTTCCCCTCACCGTTTGTTTTTGGCGCCGAGCACGGCGGCCAACGCCTCCTCCTCGTCCAGGGTGCGCTTGGCGGCGGGCCGGCCGGCGGCGGGCGCGCGCGGCAGTGGCCGGTAGTGGCCCGAGATCTCTGGCAGCGCGTCCAGCACCTCGAGCGCCGGCGGCGGCGGCGGCGGCGATGGCCGGGCCCGCTCCACCAGCTGCCGAGCGAGAGCGGGGTCAGCCAGGGAAGAGCGGGGCGCGGCGGCTGGGTCAGGGGAGAGCGGGGAGCGGCGGCGGGGTCAGGGGAGAGCGGGGAGCGGCGGCGGGGTCAGGGCGCGATGCTCGTCGCTCGTGCACTACACGCCTGGACCCAGGGACGGGACTAGAGTAATGAGGTATTTCGAGGGTGAATCAAAGATGCAGCCAAAGTGACAGCCGGGGGACAGCACAGTGGCCACGGCCCTCTGTATCAGTACGGGGGGGGGGGGGGGGAACCGGCAGCGGATGCACAGACAGGCTGCGGCCGCAGCACCGGCGCCCTCAAAGACCAGCGATATTTACATGATGTCTGCACTGTCCGTTCCGTGGTAAATTGGAATTCAGCGCGTGGAAATACCTATCAGACACAGCGCGCAAACTGTACAACCACTAGTGAGGTTTGGTGCGTACCAGAACATTCAGAAACGGTTAGGTATATAATGATATGCTGTAACGCGACGAAACGCAGCTTTGCATGCTCGACATAATCTTACCCGACACGCAACTGCCAGTTCCAGCAGCAGACTGACCGAGTCTCAGACCAGCACAGCGAAATCGGGCGACACTAACGGTATCCCGGTCAGCACGTGGAAGAGTGAACCCGACCCACGCCAACAGGGAACCACTCAAAGCGTAACCGGGAAGAGCTACTCACAGAACCAGAGGAGTTCAGCGAAGACGACGACTTTGATGAGGACGACTTGGACTTCTTCTTCTTCTTCCGCACGACTGAGTCGGAGCCGCCTGCGTGAGATGGGGCGAATCCCCAGTTATGAGCGAACCGATCAGCCACGAAGCACTCATCGATGTATAACTGCTTCCCCTGCACACGGGAGATAACCCCGACAACGAGGCGAGGCTGGCTAGTGTAACACATCCTTAGCAGCCAATCGTCTCAAAGACCGGAAAAAGACAAAAAGTAAACAATCAGCCACATCTATCCCTAGACAGCAGCGTGGTAAACTTAAACTGTTGAGTGCCAAGGATGCTGGCATCTTGCATGTTACTGCACACGTGTCTTGAGACCCCAAGACTGCAGCCCTTTTCCTCGCTCAACACCGACCAGCCAGCATCGAGCCAGATGGCGGTCAACCCAGCATCTGTGCACTCCCGGCACGGAAAATCGGACGGACAGGTCAGAACGTGAAAACACAAGGTCAAACGGCAACGCATCAGCGGCAAAGGAAGCATGCTGGGGGCGGAGATGGCGGAGGAGACCAGAGGTCTGGTGACATGAATTAGTCTCCTTGGTACAAGCTGCACCCACTCACCGAGCGCGGCCGCGAAGGATGCGCCACCGGTCTCCTCGTCGCCGCCGCCGCTGCTGGGCTGGCCGAGGAAGTCGACCTCGCGGAGGGCCGGGGCCGGCCGCGCCGCCGCCCCCTGCTCCGAGCGGTCCCGATCGCGCCGCGACGACTTGTGCTTGCTGCCGTGGTGCCGCTCCTTGCGCGCCGCCTCGCCGTTGACCTTCGGCGTCGGCGCCGCGCCGTCGGGCGAGGCGCCGACGTCTCGCCGATCCCGCTCCTTTCCATGCTTGCGCGGTCGCCCTTCACGGTCACGGTCGCGGTCACGGTCGCGGTCGCGGTCACGGTCGCGGTCACGATCACGGTCACGGTCACGATCACGGTCGCGATCGCGGTCGCGGTCACCGCCGCCGGCGGTGTCCGGGCTGAGCGAGGCGGCGGGATCGTGGCCGTTCACCGGCGCCGGCTCGTGCCGACGGTGCTTGCTCTCCTTGCGGTGCCTGCTCTCGGCGCGGTCGCGCTCCTTGTGCCGGTGCTCGCTGCTCGGGCCGGCCGCCTCCTCGCGGCGCGCGCGCTCCTCGCGGCGGCGCCGCTTCTCGTCGCGCGCGCGCCGCTCGGCCTCAGCGGCCGCCTGCGCCTCCCGCTCAGCCTCGGCCTCGGCCAGCTCGCGCTGGCGCCGCTCCTCCTCCTCCGCCTCGCGCTGGCGCTGCTCCTCCTCCTCCGCCTCGCGCTGGCGCTGCTCCTCGCGCGCGCGCGCCTCGTCGATCTCCATGCGCTCGCTGCCGTCGCTGGCGGCCGGCGAAGCGCTGCGCGCGCTGGCCCGCTCGGCCTGCTCGTTCTCGTCGAAGATGCGCTTCCATTTGGAGACAAGCTCCCGCGACTTGAGCCCGACCGGGCCCGGATCGCGCCGGAAGGCGTTCACCGTCTTGCCCACGCCGGTGCGCGACAACACGTCCACCGTGATGGGCAGCCTCTGCAGCTTGCTGAAGCAGTGCAGGATCTGGGGATGCAAAGAGCAAAGCGTTGGGGAGACTGCTTGCACGTTGTCTGCGGTGTTGGTTGCTGTGGCTGTTGTTGTGCTACACTTGTGGTGGAGCTTCTGACCATGGCCTCAGTTTATTCTTTAAGTCTAGGTCTTATAATATCACCCAAAAACTTTATATAGCATAATCAGAAATAACCAATTCCATAATGCAACATGCACAAAATAACATGAGCCTTATATAGATATGTATATATATATATATATATATATATATATATATATATATATATATATATATATATATATATATATATATATATATATATGTACACATATATATATACATATATATATATATATATATATATATATGTACACATATATATATACTATATATATATATTATATATATATATATATATAGATATATATATAATATATATATATATATATATATATATATTAGCTGTTAAGTGTGATTATCTAACCAATTATTTTATGTCTGCTATATGGTGTAAGACAATGCTCTTCACCTGAAATATTGTCATCTGATATGATGGATTGGTGCATTTAATGTTTATACAGCTCACTTTTTGTCTAGCCTCACTTTGTTTTGACAAAGTTACTCAGGTACAGTTTTAAGTGTGACACATATTCTGGGCCTTGGTATATGTATATACCATATAGCAGACATAAAATAATTGGTTAGATAATCAGACTTAACAGCTAAGAACACACCAACTGTGTCAGCAATGATAGCACAAAATGCATGGACAAGAATGGACAAAACTGAACATGATTGCAAATAATCATGGTAAGGTGGCTCAGGAACATGACCTTGTTTAAACCTCCATTTGAAAAAAACTTAGTGCAATTAAAGTTGCAACTAGCTTTTTATGTACTAAACATTATTTTTAAATGCTGCTCAAGTATGCTCATGATAAAGAACTCATGAAAACAGTAGAAGCGCATGTGCGTACCAAGGCTCAAATGTTTCCAAATTTGGTGTTATGACTGAGATGCATGCAAACAAATCAAAACAGCTTTGGCTAGGCCTTAAGTGATTTCAAAAGCCTGTGAGAGTTGAGCATTTATCACTGCCTGAATGACATTTGACACCAAACAGCAGGTTAATGGCATTTCATATGATTGCAAAATTACATGGGCCTTGGCATCCTTAGACCCCTGTCACAAGAGGCATTAAACAACTGCAACAAACTGATTTTCTTCATCTAAATGACATTAAATATACACAAGACCAACAGCTGGTCTAGATAATTATCTGGAATCTTGCAACATTTTACAGGAAGGTGCTTGGCACTGCCAACTTGGACAATTATCTCAAAAAATTTCAGTGCTAAGTGCAAATCCAAGATCACTCCCAGAGCACAGTTGGTACAGAATATTTTTGGTATGGCTGCCTAAGACTGTATGCTATGCATGGTGCATGTGGTAAAAAATTGAGAGATAACTTCTGCATCTGCTGGATGTAAATGGATAATCTGTGAGGATGATTGGCAGGCATAAATATTTGTTTCACAAACATAGATTATAGTGGTTCAGCCAACAGGAGAAATACATCCTAATCCCAAGCATGCAAACTGCACAGAATCACGAAAAAACAGTTACCGAAAGTGGAAGTCTGTAAGGCTTGAACATTTCACAATTGAAGGCATTACACTAAATTATTTGTAGTTGGCATATGCATGTCCCACTCTCCTTATGCAACAAAATCCCATGTTATCATGTTCAACCTTGCTGAATCTGGCACAACCTACATCTGAGCAAAATTTAGAAAAGATGCTCAAACGGATGGAATTACGCAAAACATGGAAGTACGCAAAACACAAGTTGAACCAAGACATGAAGACAGACTTAGCACTTCTACAGAAGACAGTAAACTACTGTGTGTGTTAAATGTGTTACAAAGTGCTCACCTTGTCCTCATCGCTGTACCTTTCGACCTTTTTCTGGTAATGCTCGACGATCTCCAATAACGAGGCACTCATCGTCATATCCGCTTCTGACACCTCTTCGTATCGCTATGTAGTCTTCCAGGCCTTGCTTATGGCTCGACCAAGCAAAGGTCCTACCTTGCTTTGATTTTACATCATAATCACAAAAGTCGTAAAAGCCTGACCACACGCGCACGGAACTCCAAAACATAGAAGTTTTACACAACACATATGCTGTGAAAGTCGGAAAAGTCTCGTGCGTAATATTTGTCCCAATACTTGTTCCGTACACTTAGATGTTATTTGGCAGCCAGCTCTCTCCGCAGTACTGAAGCAGTAAAATTTTAGCTTGTTTTATGCAGCATAGCCAAACGTGCACATTGCAACAACATCGAACTCAATCCCTTTGTATGCACTGCTTACCAGAGGACATTGGTCAATTCGTATAAGCCTTTTATTTAATCGCCGTCATGCTTTTCAGCAATGCAGCATATTCTACGACTGTGTAGGTGCAAGAGAGGTTGGCGTACCAGGTTGTTCGGAAACTGGCACCTCAGGGAGGACGTGGATGTACCTTATGCATTGTTAACATGTGAACTTTTTCTTGCCCGTCAAACGTGCGGTGGAGGTGCATTAAAATGCGGTAATGTCATGAAAAAGGTTGGCGTCTCCTACCCATTATGGGGACGAACAGCCTTCACGCCCAGCATGTGTCAGGATCATACCAGTTGCCCGCAACTTCATAAGCAGTGTGGTGCAATGAAGCTGAAAGTAGAACTACTGACTCGCACCCGAGCGTGCTCAAATGTACAGAGGGCTTGCTTAACCCATCTCGGCTAACTCGGGTCAAAATATCTTCATGAGCAGTAGCCATTCGAACTGAACATGCAAACAGAAAGCTGCAATGGACATTCCTTCGTGTAATCTCCCACGAAGATGGTAAAACAATTTGCTATACCGAACACTAAAATATGTGACCCCCTCACCTTAACCAAATCTTCTCTAAGGCAATGCTGCGCGTGACCGAACGGGACAAGACAGCAGAACATGATGTTGAGCGTCACCAAACGAGATCAGGCCGGGGAAGAAAGCATGTTCCGTGTGAATCGGCGACATCAGTCGAGAAACATCGTGCTGTGGTGTAGTGCGTGCTGGTGCGCGCGGCTGGGTGCGCCTCTGCGGCCGACCGCCGGAGGCGGGGGCTGACCGGCCGCCGGTCAGCGGTCACCGGGACGTCGGTCTTCTGATTCCGGTAAGAGTGCGCGGATGTCACGCTGGTGGCAAGGAGAAGGGCGTGCCAAATGGAGTCGCGGGAGAAATTGGTGTAGGGTGGTGGGGAAGAGCTGGAAGACTTCTTGCGACGGTTGGATGCCTTTCGGATGACAGTGGTGACTGAGAAGAAGGCGATGTGGAAGGCGCTTGTTGGCCTCGGTTCGCGGATTGTGGTGATGGGTCCACTGTCAGAAGAGGACACAGAGGATGTTCAGAGCGCGAAGTCGGCACCGCGTCGGCAGCTCGGTCCGTCCCAGAGCTGGTATCAGGACCGGCTTAATCAGCGACGTAAGCAGCCCTCCGAGGCATAAGGCACGTTTCTTTCCGATCTACTCTCATTGTTTCGTGGCGCATTCCCTGACTCGGGGCCTGACACGTCTGTCGGAGCAGCTATCTTGAGGAGTCAGTTCTTGAATGACATTTTATCCTATATTGCGGCGCGGTTACGGCTCTTGTATCCTAGCATTGACGTTGATGTGATGATACATACAAAACAGAGTGAGGAGGCTGTCCGTCGCTCGCCGGCTGAAGTCAGTCACATTGTGGAGGGGTCTGCGGTAGAGAAGGGAGCGGCTGATCATCTCCGTGACGAGGTGGCTGAGCTTTCTCGTGCCGTGTTCCGAGATCCGCGCGGCGGCCGGGTCAGCTGGCCGGCTGGTGCTATCGCCGGGGGCGGCGTGACGTCACTCGGAGCCGGACGGGTCAGCCAGTGGCCGGCTCAGCAGGGCGAGAGACCGTCACGTGACCCGGCCAAGGTCAGCTGCGCGGCCGGCCCACAGGAGCGTGCCCACGGGGAGGGCAGCTGCGCGACATAGCGGGCTAGCCGGCGTCCGGGTCGGGCCGGGCTGGTTTCAGGGGCAGGCGAGCGCGATGCTAGACATGCGGTCCTTCTGACCACCGGTAGGTAGAGTGTACCCAGGCTCCATCTGGTCCCGGCCAGGGGTCACCGGCACCCGTGGTCTGCTGGCGTTGTGAGTTTGGGCACAACCAGCATGACTGTCCTCAGGCTTTAAACTGAGGAGGGTCCCTACCGGGGAACCAGTGGTAATCGGATCCGAGGTCAAAGGTCCTCGCAATTCGCAGGTACGTTTGCTTCATGTGCGTGGTCGCAATGCGACAGTGGATTGTACGTGGTTGGTTGATAAGGGAGCAGTGGCCACCTGTGTGTCGGCATCTCTTACGGGGCTCAGCTCGTTACCACTCAACCCAGCGGCTGTACACCCGATCGCAGCCAATCGCACGACATTGAAACGTGTTGGTATGATTTCGGCAAACGCTTCGGTCGGTCCGGCAACGATAAATGACGCTCAGGCACTGATGGTGGAAGATTTGCCTGCTTCGGCCACCCTTGGAAATGATGTTCTGACGTTGTTCAAGTCCGTCCAAGTAAACTACACTGAGCGGGTGCTGTATTTAGGGCATTTTCGCACACAGTTGGAGGAGTAGGCACTCCGACGCATCCAGTTTCTGTGCACCTTGTATCTGATTGAACGGCGAAACCTTTTTCCGAAAGGATGATTTACGCGCAAGCTGAGGATTTGGAGTCGATTTCCCGAGATGTTATGTTTGATCCGGATGCTCGACAAGTGGAACGTTACGGGATTTCAGTTAGTCCCTGCCTGGCCAGGCCTGGAGTGGATTAGCCGCATTCCAATTCTCGTGGAAAAACCCCGGATCAGATTCTGTCCGTCCTTGTATCCATTCCGTCGTTGATGAGGTTGAAGACATGGAGACGGCTCCAGTAGGGAGTGACAAGCCTACACGGGTCGGAGTGGTACACGTTGATTTGGCTGAAGCGGAAGTCAACCAGGTCAGTCACAGGAAACTGAAGAGTCTATTTCACGGGTGTCGGGACGTGTTCGCAAATTCTGATGCTGAGCTGGGACGAGCATATCGCGCCCATTTCGACATCAACACCGGCGGGTCGCCACCTGTTGCAGTTTAGCCAAGAAGGACCCCATATCATTTGAGACCAGAAGTGCGGGGGCTTATCGTTGACACGGAGGCCCTCGGGCTAATCCAGCGTACCAGTTACCCTTGGTCGTCACCCATTTTGGTGTTTGAGAAGTCAGATGGTACTTTTCGTTGTGTGGTGAACTTCCGTGCGTTAAACAGCAAGACGATGGGCGAGGTCTGCCACATACCATCTGCCAAGGAATGCCTAGATAGCTTGGCCGGTGCAAAAACTGAAATAGAGCACCTGCACCTGCTGCGAACCATGCTAGATAGACTGAGTTGTACGGGTTCGACTGTAGAGAGTAGGAGAGTGGTGCTCTGCAGGCGTCGGATAAGGTTTCTTGGGCACGTTGTGCCATCCTCAGGTCTCGAGCCAGGTGCAGACAAGGTTGAGGTCATCAAGGACTGGCCGTGACCACAGGCAACCAAGCAGATGAAACAATTTCTTGGGCTGTGCAATGACTTCAACGACTTCGTGCCAATCTTTAGGCCGTGGCAGTTCCGCTGCATACAATCTCTAGAAGGACCAAGCTCCAGTGGGATGAAAGGAAAGCCTCTCAAGATCTGAGGGATGCCCTCGGTACGTCCTCGCTCTTACATTTGCCAGGCACGCAGCAAGAGCCTGAGGTTAGCAGGGATATATTGGATTTTGGTTTGGACTGTTTTTTTTTGTCACAGAGGGACCAACCAGGAGTCAACAGGCCGGCGAGCTTGTGCCTCAAAGACCTTGTCTGATAGTGAGAAGAGCTGGTACATTTGAGGTAAGCCGGTGCTTCATTTTTGTTTTTGCTTTGAGGGAATTCCATCTGCACCTGCTTTGCGCGCGCATCAAGTGGTTCACTGACCACCGCTGGCTTCAGCGGTTACGCAACACAAAAGATCCGAGAGGGCGGCACGCGTACTGGGTTGAGAAGATTGAGGAGTTCAATTTTCTATACATTTCAGAAAAGCTAGGAAAAACCAACATACTGATGCTTTATCTCGCGTGATGATCTGCGCAGCGCAGCCAGTGCCGCAGTCTCAGCCACATGATCTCATCCACCTGGTCGGGGGGGAAAGGGGGGGGGGGGGTTGCGAGATGCTCAGGAGCGGGACGGGGCGGCCAGCGTACTGCGCATGGAAGCACGCCTCAACCGGGTGGAGGGTCCACATAGCAGTCGGTGCCGGCAGGGTGGTTTTGAACCGGTCATTGATCAGGGCAGCGGTTTGTTAGTCGTCGTCAAAGCAGGTATAAATGAGACGCTGGTCCCGAAAGGTCTCATTCCACGCGTTTTGAGTCTCCAGCATGACTAGTTTGGCCATTTCGGACTGGGAGACTGGAAGGACCTGTCAGCTGCTGCAGTGGACCGGAAATATTTCATGGGAAATGGAGCAGGATGTCAGGAACTACCGTAATGGCTATTTGGCTTCTGCCGTTCAAACAACGCGCAACGCTGTTTCACGGCGTCGTTGGAAATGACGACGCAACCCACAGCTCTTTGGCAGCACGTCGCTGCCGGCCTGATGGGACCGTTCGGACGTGAGATCACAGAGCAGGGTAATCGATACGTTCTGTTCGCACTGGGCCTGAGCAAAAGTGTGTAGCTGGCTACCATTCCAGACAAATCGGCAGAAGCCGTGGCCAGGTCGCTGACCGAGAGTGTTCTTTACCGTCACGGCCTCCCGGAATCCACACTGACAGATTGCGGCCTGGGATCCCTGGACGATCCAAGGTAGGATCTCTGTTTCTTGTTGCTGTGACTGTTAATTCGAACAGAGGGCATCTCCCCATTGCAAAAAAAAACGTCCCAGCCTAATCTTGGGTGGTTTGAGCTTCTTTTGAAAGACTTTCGGAAGACTTCACGGCGGTCGTTCTCACGTGAACGGCGCGAGAACCGCCTGGTGTTGCCTGCCGGGGCCAACGCCGTTCGTTTTTACAAACTCTGCAACCCCGGTTATCACTGGTTTTGTTCCAGAGATTGCGAACTTTTGAGGCACAACAACTGTTT